AGTGAAAGATGTTTTGAAAGCACACCTTTCTATTGAATGTGGCCCATATGTCTAATCTAATATTCTCAGAAATTTTACAACTTGGGGAAATTATGTTTTTTTTACTGAACAAATATTTCTGTGTACCAGGCACGTGCTATGCATTGTGTATGTAATGGCAAATAAAGCAGACGCGGTCATTATCTTCATGGACTTGACAGTCTGCTAAGGGAATCAGATGCTAAATAAACAAATACAAAGAAAAATTGAATTGCAAAATTAAAAAATCACTACATAGGTAAAATAGGGTCCATAGAACTGTGCCCTACTTTATATCGGGGGTGGTTGGTTGAGGGTGGTCAGGGAAGGGAAGGCCTGAAGGTCAGAGTTGGCCTGACAAAGACTGGGGGAAAGAACATACCTGACTTAGGAAACAGCATGTGCAAAGTCTCTGAGGCAGGAAACAGTTTGGCATCCTATAAACCATATTATTAGAAGGGAGAAGTGACAATTGATGAAACTTGAGAGAAAAGACAGAAAGCTATATTAAGAAGATTATAGATGAACCATATAAGCACAGCAGTATGGCACTATTTAGTATAGGGGCAAATGACCCTCCATGCAGCCCAACAGCCTCTCAGAGCCTCACTGAAGTGCAGTCCAGAAACTGATACCCATAATACTTAGTGTGAGTCACTGGGGAATGGATGAATTATGTTTGATGAATTATGTAGTGAGAGGCATTTTAGAAAGATTTCCATGCAAGGCATTAAAGTTTTAAAAAGTCATTTCTGTATTTAAAGACCTTCATGATCTGGAGAAATCACTTACTAAAAGATGTAAGGCCTTGATGGCCCTGGATAGATGACATAATAGTATTTTTTCTTTTCTCTTTACTTCTCTATTACTTTTTCAAGCTTACTGCTTGATAGGGAGGTATCTGTAAAGGCATAATTTTACTAAGAGATGATGTTTATCTGTTTTGAAGTAAATAGATGTCATATCTTAACTGAACAGGTTTTCATAATCCAAAAACCAGTGCTAAAGTCATGTGAACTTAATGCTTTATGACTTTATGCCTTTTCAGTTTATCTAAAGCATCTGTAGAACACTACACTGCCTTCTCTTTCTGGACACCAGTTGTTTACTTTTTTCCTTTGAGCTGCTGTCGGATGGAGAAGTTCCTTTAAAATCTTGACAATATTAAAGACCTACATAATATTTTTAGGCCCTTGTGATTTTCCTATGAATCTTCTTGTTAAAGGATTGCGTAAGTTTTTCCATGAAGGGATGCCTGACCTTTTAGCAATAGTTGTGCAGATATTTTGCTAGGGTTGCAATATTCTCAAATATTTTCATTTATGGTATTTCTTCATAATTAGTAAACTCCTTGAGGGTAGAAATCATGAATTACCTACTTATATTTCTTCCCACAAGTACCTAGCACAGTATTTACAATATAATCAATAACTTTTTCACTGGTTAACTCATTGATTTACTTCTTGATGTACCTAAATGTTCTTGAATGGATACAGTTTAAAGAATGTTTTAAAATATTAAACCTAAAGTCATCACCCAAGCTAATTCAGTTATCGGTACAGTTGTCCAAGTTATTTAAGACCAAATGAGCTGGTTTATGGGCAACTCAGGCCCCCTTAGTTTTCACTTTCTCTGTCTCTGCCTCAGATCATTATCATAGCTTCCTAGGACCTCCATCAGTGAACAAGTCAAAAATAGATTCATGTCAGAATTTATTATAAAATTTGGTGAAGATGGAGGCTGACACTAAACATCTGTTGGAGAAGCGTATGTGGATTGTAGTTAATCCTCCTTTCTCTCTGCTCACGTGTATTTATAGGATAAAATGAAGCAGTTTTTAGTTGACACTACAATGCTTTTTGTGTTACGTATGCCAAATTTTGTAAAACATAAAAAATGTAGAGACCCTATCATGGCATACTCGTATTGCTTTTGGTGATTATAAGTTTAGTAGATTTTTTTTTATAGACTGATATGTATGTTCATGAAGACATAGAAATAATGCTATGGGGAAATTGGCATATGTCATGTACCAACATCACGAGCATTCTTGGTCTGATTAGACCGTATGCAGAGCACCAGACTCATATGCTACTATGAATACCGTTTATGAAAATGCCATAAGCATAAGGCTGTCATTACTCCAATTTGTCACTGAAAGAAACGTACTTTTTCAGGTTGTTTACCTTTCCAGAACTAAAGGATTGAGTTGGTGCGACTGGTACTCATCATGTCTCCAACTGAACAAAAATGTACAGTGGCCATTAAGAATGTTTGATTCCACTGGGGTGCATCAATTGTCGTGTTTCTCAGTCTTTCTGCTTCCTGGAGCATGCTCTTTGGGTGATCTTTTCGAATGTTCAGTCTGGAGTACAGATGTCTCTTAGTAGGTGACCAAGACTTGCTAAAATTGGCCTCTTTTCCGTCTAGCCTACCGCCAGCTGAGGAAGAACTTCAGAAAGGAGAAAGGCGTGATTCTGTTTCTGAGCGTAGATGTTGCGTTAAAGTCTGCCGAAGCTGACTGGTTCAGTCATTTGGTTCAGCTTTTATTATGTGATCAGTGTAGATTTTAGGGAGGGTAATAGTAAAAGAATTTTAGGCTACTTCAGGCATAGTATGAAACTCAGAATTTACCAAAACTTGTAGAGAGAGGACTTGGTGAGTTTGGTCCAGATGCAAATAAATGTTTGTTGGGAAGAGAAGGAGAAAGACTTAAAAACAGTTGTACCACGTGCTCAAGGATACAGATCTTATCTGTGCAGTCTTTGAACAACAGTCTGGCCAAGAAAAAGACACAGTCCATTTCTTTGCTTATATTCCAGGTCAGAAGCCAGGAAAGTTCCTAAATCCCTTTTGCCCCTCCCTACTCCTTCCTCCACAGCAAAAAAAAAGAAAAAAGAGAGAGAGAGAGACTTACAGCTTAAAATATAAAGGAGTCTTTTGAAGAAGCACCTTCTGTGTATTCTTTATGTCATGATATTAAGGCATGAAAAACCATTGCTTTTAAAAAAGAATTGTGGTAAGATATACATAATGTAAGATTTTACCATTTTAACCACTTTTAAATGTACAGTTCAGTGGCATTAAGTACATTCACATTGTTGTGCAGCTGTCCCTGCCATCCATCTCCAGACCTTTTTCATCTTCCTGAACTGAAACTCTGCCCATTAAACACTAACTCTCCACTCCCCCCTCCTCAGCCCCTGGCAACCACCATTCTGCTTTCTGTCTCGATGAATTTCATCACTGTAGGTGCCTCATATTAGTGGAATCAAACGGTTTTTGTCCTTTTTATGATGGGCGTATTTCACTTAGCATAATGTCTCACAGTTCATACATGTTATAGCATGTGTCAGAATTTTCTCCCCTTTTAAGACTGAATAATATTCCATTGTATATATATACCACATTTTGTTGATCTCTTCATTCATCCGTGGACACTTGGGTCGCTTCCACCTTTTGACTGTTGTGAATAATACTGCTATGAACATGGGTGTACAAATACCTGTTTGAGACCTTGCTTTCAGTTCTTTTGAATATATACCCACAACTGGCACTTTTTGAGGAACTGCCATCCCGTTTTTCCACAGCAGTTGCACCATTTTACATTCCCGCTAGCTGTGCGCAGAGGTTCGCATTTCTCCACATCTTGGCCAACACTTGTTATTTTCTGCTTTTTTTGATAATAGCCATCCTAATGTGTATGAAATGGTATCGCATTGTGATTTCGATTTGCGTTTCTCTAAGGCTAGTGAAGTCGAGCATCTTTTCACGTGCTTGTTGGCCATTTGTGTAACTTCTTAGGAGAGTCTTTTGCCCATTTTTTTAATTGAGTTGTTTATTTTTGTTGTCGTTAATCAGTTGTGGGTGTTTGGTATGTATTCTGGACATTAATCTCTTATCAGATATATGACTTACAGTATTTTTCCTCTTATTCTGTGAGTTGCCTTTTCGTTCTGTTGATCACGTCCTTCAATGTATAAAAGTTTTAAATTTTGATGTAGTCCAGGTCACCTATTTTTTCTTTTGTTTTCTGTGCTCTTAGTGTCAAATCCAAGAAATCATTGCCAAATCTAATGTCATGAAGCTTTTCCCTATGTTTTCTTCTGAGAGTTTTATAATCTTAGCTCTTACATTGAGGTCTTTGATCCATTTTGAGTTAATTTTTATATGATGTGAGATATAAGAGTCCAACTTCATTCTTTTGTATGTGGGTATCCAGTTTTCCCAGCACCATTTGTTGAAATCACTGCTTTTTAATATTCAATAAAAACTAAATCTGCCACGACTGGAAGGACCCACAACTAAAATATACAACTATGTGCTGGGGGGATTTTGGGAGAAAAAGCAGAAGAACAAAAAGAAGATTGGCAACAGTTGTCAGCTCAGGTGCCAATCTTTAAAAAAATAAACAGAGGCCAGCCCCATGGCCAAGTGGTTGGGTTCACGCGCTCTGCTTTGGCGGCCCAGGGTTTCGCCAGTTCGAATCCTGGGCAGGGACATGGCACGGCTCATCAAGCCATGCTGGGACGGCGTCCCATATGGCACAGCTAGAAGGACCCACAACTAAAAACACACCACTCTGTACCTGGGGGCTTTGGGAGAAAAAGCAAAAATGAAATCTTTAAAGAAAAATTTTAAAAATAAATAAATAATTACCTGCTCCAGGTTCTCCATCTTCTTTAAAAAAAAAAACAACTAAATCTTCGGTTTGCTGACTTGATATTCCATATCAATGTAGTATCTAATATTCTATTAGAAGATCTAATAGAAAATAATAAATATATGTATATATACACACTATTAAGTTAATTGAGGCATCAGTAAACTTTGCTGGAGTGGTAGATTATTCTTTGGGAACAAAGAAAACATTGTGACTTTTTCTAGACAGTGCATTTGTGAAATTGGTTTGAGAAATGTACATCTTCTTGAAAAATGTCTCTCCAGTGAATACTACATGGATATTTTTGTTTTGTTCCCAGGCATGGAAGAGGAGATGGTTTGTGTTACGCAGTGGCCGTTTAACCGGAGATCCAGATGTCTTGGAATATTACAAAAATGATCATGCCAAGAAGCCCATCCGTATTATTGATTTAAATTTATGTCAGCAAGTTGATGCTGGATTGACATTTAACAAAAAAGAGTTTGAAAACAGCTACATTTTCGATATCAACACCATTGACCGTATTTTCTACTTGGTAGCAGACAGTGAGGAGGAAATGAATAAGTGGGTTCGTTGCATCTGTGACATCTGTGGGTTTAATCCTACGGAAGAAGGTAAGTTCCAGATTTTGTTATTCAACCCGAATTCTCCTTTATTACTACTTTTTTAGAACTCTTATAAAATTCTTTATTTATTACACAATATAATATTTGTTTTATTTTTTTTTATAATAGTAACAACATTTGGAAAAAGTACTAAACGCTTTAATCAGTTTGGGGAGAAACTTTTTATAGGTTTTAGAGAGACTTAACCATTATGGGGCACTGTCTAAATAAATGTCCTGAAAAAGAAGGTAACGAGAAGATATGCTTATTTCAGAGCATTTCCTGAGTTCCTATATAGATATTAAGTTGAACCTTGTAACACTGCTGATATTTGACTATTTTTGTCCTATTAAAAATAGCATTTTCAGATGACAACTTAATTCTCTAGGTATTATTTTAAAACCATATTAGATTATGAAGTTATGAAATAGCCAAGGCAACTATCAATACACATGAAAAGAAATGAGAATCAGTCACAAAGCATGATGAAAAAGTAACAAACAAATGAGTTTACTTAACACAGAAGTCCTGAAAAGCGCATGGAGGAAAAGGGGGCTCAAAGTTTGGATGAGAAGTTGTGAAGAAAAGCTTCTCGGAGGAAGAAAAATTGTAAATTATGGGCTTTTGAAAGAAGTAGTACTTCTGCATAAATGAAAGGAGGGATGCAGAACCCGGCAGGTTTAGGGGCGAGAGAGAGAAAGGACCTACAGGTGGACTAGAATTCTGCTTGAATGATAAAGGCAAGAGGAGAGGCTCTGAGATTTGGGGCGCCTGTTCTGGGAAGAGCTGAGTGATTACAGGTCTCCAGTAGAGTTTTATAAGTGGAATTCCTCTTGAGATGCTTTTCTATAGCTTTCGTGACCACCTTTTCCCTGGCTGCTTCTCTACTTCTCCCTTTTTAGACAAACACTAAGAACCTATGTAGGCGACTCCAATGCAAAGATTTGTTGAGCCAAGAATCAGAAATAAAGGCAGCCTGAAGTCTTTGACCTTATCATCTTCATGGTTATACTCATGTTTACCAGTGTGTATTTCCAAGTATCTATATTTAGGAGTGCCGCAGAGTCAGTGACGGGGGGGTGGGGGGGGGGGGGGGGGGGGAATTGTATTAACCATCAACATCAAATTTTGGATTAAAGTGAAACAGTAGTCATCTCTGATTAGCTCACGTGGCATGCTGTTTCCTCTCTGGCCAGTCAGCAGCCCAGGAGAAAGAGCCTTCCAGGGCTGGGAGGGGCCAAGTGGGTCGGGGAAACCCCTTGGTGAGGAACTCCAGAACGGACCGAGGGACCAGTCCTAAGAGGGAAGGAGGCGCCCAGTTTAGACAGGAGGCGCCTCATGAACTAGAGCTCGTCAACAGAGCTCTGGTCATTAAAAGCCTCAAGAAATTGCTTCGCGTGTGGAATTCAGGCTTCAGTTGTTTCTGTGAAGTTACTAAATATGTTCACATTTTAAGTGGGCATAGGGGTATTACTTCTAACTCCAGTTAAACTCCTCTCCTTTCTTATTTGCAGATAGCATCTATATTCGAGTGCACTGGAGGATTTTAAAGTTAAAGTCACAAACCAGATAGCGCTCTTTTTAATAGTTATGTTAACAACCACTCAGTGATGATCATTATCGGATTTAGATACCACATTAGTTTCATTATGCGATGGATTTTCAGTTAAAAAAATTGAAGTTGTCGTGTAAGTTTTCTGTTGATGTTGTCCTTATGCCTGCTGCCTTTTCAATTTAGAATTTGTTTTTGGGGACATAGGGGCAGACTTCCGTCCCCCCTGGTTGCTTGTAGAGATTCAGCTGGTCTGAAAGACTAAGTCGTAGGTGTTCCTCTGTCTCGCTTCGTTTTCTTTATAATTCTTCTAAATATATTTACCGAAGGAAATGACGTGCTCTCTGAGAGGAGGCACATTCTTCAGTCCAGGAATATGAGTCTCTAATTTTTGGAAGCCCGTTTAGGGGTGGGTAGAGTTGAGAACTCCCAAAATAATAATTTCTAATGCTGAAGGGTCTCAGGTTAACTTTGCAGATTTTAAGGCGTGGAGTCTGGTCCGTTGGTCCACTTTAGAATGATTCCTATCATCCTGGAACTTGACGAACACCCAGTCAGCTCTGGGAAGCAGAAAAGTTTTGTCTGCTTTAGAAAATCGATTTATTAATTTACCAAAATTTGAGTTTGCCAGCACTCTACCAGGCTTTGGGCATTCACTCAACCAATATGTATGAGGAGACTAGTTAGGGAGATAAATGGGAAACATTACAGACGTGGAACTGAGCATCTAGTGGGGGAGGATTCCATACCCAAAATAATTCATCACAGTTGTTGATAATTACAAGTTATATATGTGTGTGTGTGTAATAAAATATATATTTTATTATGGTTATATATATTAAACTGTGATACTGTGGGAGTGTGTAAATACAGTTCTTAGAGCTTACAGTCAGTCTAGCAGGAGAGACAGGCAAATTCTCTAGGAATTATGATACTGGTTGATAAGTGCTCGGCTAAAGAAAAAATAAATAAGCATGGATAGCAGCTCATTTAGTCTTAAGAAGGTCAGGAAAAGCGTAGGTCCTATTAAATGGCTCTGTGACTATAACTGATACGTACTGAGGACCTTTTTTTTTGTACTTAGCGGAACATTTTCATTGCTATTAGTAGTCAGAATCAGCCACAATGTCTGTTTTCACTTTATAAACTTACTGGTATAGGGAGGGGAGGAAGTTTCAAAACTTGAAAGCTACAGTGACCTTTTCAGTGGCAAAACTCCCAAATCCCTCTGAAACGTCTTAGAAATATATTTGCCTTGAGTGAAATTCTCAATTTGTGGACTTTTTATCTTCACAATACCCATAAAAAAAGGATATTGTTAATCAAATTTGATGTATGTAATCTGAGTTAGCTACTAAGAACAGCTATGCTAATCGCAAATTGTTTTTATGTGTTCATTAAAACAAGCCCCTAAGGACTTCAATTTGCCAGTGCTTTCTAAATTTAGTTCATGAGCTGCATCTAAATGCAACTGCATTTATTTTTTTTAATTTTTTTATTAAGATTATGATTGTTTACAACCTTGTGAAATTTCAGTTGTACATTATCTGCATTTATTTTTTGAATTCTACAATTTAGATTTTTACGAGTTCATTCTGGCCGTCTCCCACATAGCCACAGTTAGGTGTCTTACTATCCTATGTTGAAGACTTGAGTTTCTTGGAATAAAGCAGCAAAAGATGAGCAGTCCTTCGTCGTGTAGTATCAAGGAGCCACAAAAGTACTTTATTTTACTCTGTAATTTTGGTTTTTGATGCATAGTAACAAACCTGCCAAAAGGCTTTGAAGTCAACCACTGTATTTGCTTATTCACTTGTAGTAGCTAACTTTGCTAGACGCCTTTTCTTAAAATCGCACCTGTAACGATTTGCATCAAATTCTAAACTGCAGAGAACTGTTATTATCCTTTGTGATCACATTCGTACAGTTTAATATGACAAGGTAAATATCAAAATGTCTTTGTTCTTCCATTAACTTTACTACCTGCTTTATATTCTCTTGCTTCCAAATAGATCACACCACCAATCACTAAATAATTGGGGTGTTTGGTTTTACCTGGATCTATCCCCTGAGCCCTGTGCTCTTCCCATTTCACAGGGCTGAATATGGCCCCACTCTTAGCTTAAAACTAATAACACAAAATGATTTTTCACTCTACTAGTGTCAGGCTAGACGTGGGAAGAAATAGACTATGCTTGTATATTACAGTCTGAGAAAATAACTATCCCCAATCCCTATGAGAATAACGCATTTTCTCCTGAAAACAAAAGGAAAGGGGAAAAATCTGACCTGTGTTTTGATTCCAGGAACCTCTCAAAATATCGTTACCATGTTATTTCCGCTGCCCCAGGTGACCACTGCTATTACTGAATACTCAGAATGCTGGCAGGCTGGATCTGTTTTTAAATTCTAGCACATTGAACTGTGTTCGGTTCCTATGAATGCTTTTATTTACGAGATTTGAGGGTAGAAACCAATTTCTTTTCTTTTTCTTCGAAATGGGCAGATTTATTTTTGTTTCTACACCGAGGTGGAAGCTGTTAAATCTGCTAAACAAGTGCCAGGAAACACAGCCTAAGAGTTGTACGCAGCTAACCAGCTTGGCGCAGAGGCTTCTGGTCTAATTTCAGGATGCAAGATTACCAAATTGCCTCTTACCGTCAGATGGGTTGTTTTTCTCAAAATGTCCAGATAATAGTGGCTTTTAAAAAATAGTGTGATCCTCTGATATTCTTCCCTTTAGAAAAGTAGATAAACTAACATGTAAGAATATCCATATGCTCCCTTTCCTGTAAAGAAGTGCTTCTTAATTAGGGAACTTTTAGATTTCTTTTATTTACTTCTTAGTTCAGGTATAACTTACCATTTTGAAAGGCACAGATCTTAAGTGTACAGTTCAATATAGTTTTATATATTCATCTATATCTATACGTAGAAATAGAAGTCTGTGTAACTGCCACTCAGATCAAGAAACAGAACATTTCCAGTCCCCCAGAAGGTTTTCTCATGCTTCTTCCCAGTAAAAACCCAGAAAAAAAGCCTAAATGTAACTGTTATTTTGCTTCTATCACCATATATTAGTTTTGCCTATACTTGAACTTCGTAGAAATAAAACCATTGAGTCTGGCGTCTTTTTTCAATATTAAGTCTGAGAGATTCATGCTTGGAGCATGTAGTGGGAGTTCTTCATCCTATGTAGCCTTCCACTGTGTGACTATATCACAAATTATTGATCTGTTTGAACGTTGATGGACATTTTGGGTTGTTTCCAGTTTCTAGTTAATACAAATAAAGCTGCTGTGAACATTCTTATATGTGTCTTTTGATGGACATGAACACTTAGTTCTTCTGGATGTATACTCATGAGTGGAATGGCTACATCATAGGATAGCTTGAGTAGATTTAGTAGTTTTAGTTTTTCAAAGTTATTGTACCAGTTGCTTTCCTACTAGCAATGTATGAGACTTCCAATTACTCTACATTCTCGCCAACATTTGATATTGTTGGTCATTAATTTTAGCCATTCTAGTAAGTGTGGGATGGTATCTCATTGTGGTTTGAATTTACATTTTCCTGAGGACCAGTTCAACCAGAGAGTTTGTTCTATTTTGTTTTGTTTTGTTTGATGATACATTTTCAAGCTACTGCCCCTGAGATCTTGATTTACTGCGTCTCCTGAGATGGGGCCCAAGCCCCTAGATTTCTAAGACACCCACAAGTGATTCTGATGCCATGACCTCTCTGGATGAGAATTAAGGCATTTGTCAGCAATTCCTAAGGTTTATTTTAAGTCTCCAAGAATGTTTTCACAGTCTAAGGAAATAGTCGTGACAATAGTCTTTTTATTTAAAAGATAAAAAATGTTCTACTTGAAACACATTAAATAGATTGGTCTATGATTAAAGGTCTTCAATTTTTTTTTTTTTTGCCAATCTTCTTTTTTTTTTCCTTCTTTTCTGCTTTATCTCCCCAAATCCCCCCAGTACATGGTTGTATATCTTAGTTGCAGGTCCTTCTGCTTGTGGCATGTGGGGCACCGCCTCAAACATGGCCTGACGAGTGGTGCCATGTCTGCACCCAGGATATGAACCAGCGAAACCCTATGCTGCCACAGCGGAGCACTCGAACTTAACCACTCGGCCACGGGGCCGGCCCCAGGTCTTCAATATTTGATTAAATAATTTGAAGAAACTGCAGGTCGCTTCACTGAACATTGCAACCACTGCTGTTTCTTATTTGTACCTACTTGTTAGATTTACCTTTATAAAATATTCTCCCATAAAAAAATGGTGTATTCAGAAGTGAGAAGATGGTTATTTTAGCCTTAATGATAATGCATACTCTTTGTGGACTCTTATTTGCTAAATTAGTTAAACATAGATTAGTTCGAAATGCTTCTCTTTACAGAAAAAAATTCTATAACAGACTAGGTAAATCAGTAATCTATAGAAACAGAGTAACCTTAACCTATTTACCTTTAATTGTGAACATAAAGGTAAAACTTTTGCAATAGAAACCAACAAATATTCTATCAGCAAATGTAACCCGTCCTCCTCAGAGAGGAGATCTCATGTGTTCTCCTGACAGGGACGTGAGCAACACCAGTTTATTACCACATGCTCGATGCTGTATGTTGTAGTTACAAAATCAGAGGACCTGTGCCTCAACTTTGAAATATTCTACCTTACCAATAAGAAAGAGTAGAATTGCTTCCCTGGCCTTAAGCTTTTGTGCCATTTGGTTAAAAAAAAAATTATTCCGAATGTTTACAGGCATCATCTGGGGACTCCAACTTCTGTGAGGGTCACTGCCACCAGGGCATTATGGTTCTAAATGGGGTAAAACTGTGCATTAAGCTAGGGATCATGTGGACCAATTTATTACTTGTGGTTCTCCTCTCATAATAATCTACGTCTCTTCACTGAAAGGTCGTTAAGGCTTTCCTTAGCAGTACTTATTGGCTTTCTAAGTAAAATTCAAGTAAGAGTTTGCTCCAGAGCTTATTAGGCCTTTAATTGGTGCCAATTATATTCCTCATACCTTCTGAATTAAGAGACAGGAAATAATTTTACGTACATAAGCAAACACTAAACTGATGCTTGGTTCTCAGAAACTTGGTACCAGCGTTACTTAGAAAGAGCAGTAAGTTAGAAACCCAAGTGAGGCAGAAAACAACCAGCACGGTCTGCTTAACTACCTGTAGCGTAGAATAGAGGCAAATCACATCTTTATACCGTGGAACAGAAGTTTCTTTTTTCAGACGAGCTGATTAACTTTTGGCCAGAAATTTTATGTTGGAGAATATTTAGACCCAGAGCAATGCTTGCATTACAATATTCAGATCTGAGTATGTAGTCAAATTAACATAAGTCAAATAATCCCAAAGACAATGGCTTTGAAGATAGCACCTTCTCTGAGCCAAAGTGGAAGAGCAGTGTCTGCTTCCCTTTTAAAGCCCTTTGTATGTCATGTTGTTTGGAATGGTTGGGCTTGCTTTTCATGGCTGCTTGAAGGACTTTTCTCTCATGAGGTTGCTAGTGAACATAATAGAAATTTTTCTCTAGTTCTTACCTCTGAGAAGTATGTATCTCTTCCCATATTGTGAAGAAGATTTTTTTTTTTTTGTAAAGGAAACCTTTGAATCCCAGGCCTCTTTTCAGAAAATTCAGAGGATCTTGCAGCTATAAAGAGGCTAAAACGGTTTCGTCATTCACAGGCGGAAGAAATGGAAGGTTAAAATTAGATGGTCCCATTTTGTTAATACAGATGTGATTGCCTGGCAGGGTGATTTTTGTTTCCCGCTTAAGATGGATCACTCAGTTTATTTAGTTCTAGCCATCAAGTTTAGAAAAAATATTTAAGGAAAAGTATCTATTAAAACAAGTACCTGGGAAAGTTATTTTAGGAGTTAGAGTGGAAAACTGGAATTTATACTAATTTACATAGTGATATATATCCACTGTTTAGTTTCATTTTGATTTGGTCAGAACTCACAATTTAAGTAGATGATACAATTCTGCGGTGCCTCTATGGTAGAGGAAAGAAGTCTATAAAATATGCACTATGCTGGGCTGGCCCTGTGGCCAAGTGGTTAAGTTCGTGTGCCCCGCTTCAGTGGCCTGGGGTTCACCAGTTTGGATCCTGAGTGCAGACCTACACACCGCTCATCAGGCCATGCTGTGGCGGCATCCCACTTAGAAGAACTAGAATGACTTGTAACTAGGATATACAACTATGTACTGGGGCTTTGGGGAGGGGAAAAAAAAGAGGAAGATTGGCAACAGATATTAGCTGAGGGCCAGTGTTGCTCACCGAAAAGCATAGAAGAAACTTCCTTATTCAATTAAAAACAAAATGCACTATGCTTGTGAATACAACCAGTAGGATACATTAATTGCTTTCTGATATCTTTGCTTTTTTTCCTCAATGTTGTATATATTTTTCTTAAACTCCTCTTTAAAAGGTAAATATTTTTCATAGTTTTCTGAAGTTTAACAAGCCACCAGGATTTACTCTGAGTCACTGGTTAATCTACGGCATTTGAAATCCCCCTAAATAAATCTCTGTATATTTGCAACTGAATCAAAACAGTGAACCATTTCCTAGGGTACCTTATATACACTATTTATAATCGACAGCTAGTAGACCTGAGGTGTTGGAATTTCCACTGAAATTATGGATTTGTGTTATATAGACGTCCAAAAGTTCATTTTTTAATTCTCATTATTTTCTGTACTTTTAATAAATAAGAAAGAATTAATTAATTAATTCCTGGCATAAAGTGTTAGATTTTGTTAGATGAGCTTGTATGAAGACTCTCCATTGCATGCAGCATAATAAAAGTAAAACGTTAAAAATTAGTTCAACTTCTATTTACTCAGGCCAAATTTTCCAACTGAAAGAAGTTTTCAAATGTAATTAGCATCTAGTAGGGCTCACAAATTTCTTGAAGAGCAAATTCCAAATTGCACATGCAGGTGAACGGGTCTTGCAGATTTGGGAGTGCCCCTTGCTTTAATTTCTTCCAACCTGACATAAAGTGCTAAGTGAGTTTCTGCTGGATAAATGAAACATTTTCGAGCATCTACCGCATGTAAGACACAGTGAAGTGTAGGAGTCCTGATCCTTTTTGTTTGTTTTTGGGACCCACAATTAAAGATAAACTGTTATATTTAGCCATGTTAGTGCGTTACTATTCAAGCTTTAAAGTTAGGATCTGAACTTCTGTGCCTACGAAGAAGAGTTATAAAATGAGCTACGTAAACTTTGCTGTGGTGCATAAAGCTGAAAACATGAAGACGTTATCAAAAGCATGTGAACTTACTCTGTAGTATCTGGAGAAGTCAGAGCTGACATGTAGCTCCTCCCTGGTGAATTCACAGGCCAAATGACCTGCATTTGATTCCATTTGGTAGAATATACTAACTCCCTTACCGTTTTGTAGCATCTTTTAGTAAGATTTTGTTGTGAAAATTGCAGTTTCAACCCAGCATTTTTGTTCTAATATAAACAGACAATAAACATGTTTTTTTATTCATATACAAGTATTTACCCTTTTTTGGATTTATAGCCTTGTATTCCTAACCAAACTAACAGAATTTTTCTTCTGGGCCGTTAAAAATTTACTTGGTTGTGTCAAAGATTACAGTGGGATTTTATTTCTAGGTTTTCAACTTGTTTTCAAATTACTTCATTCTACACAGTATTTTCGTATGTCTTCTCAGAACATGGTTAAATGCCTAATAAATTACTCCTTTACTTGCTGACCCCTTTTGGATGAAAATAGTACAGAAATCCAATAAATGGCAAATGAAGCTATGAGCTGAGGGGAGAGGTGACGCCTTAAAGAAAAGCTCTTTCCCTGACTGTGAATCCCGGAATTAGAAATCTTTCTCCCTAGTCAGCCGAGAAGTGGAAAGAAAAGAATGGACAGCAGAATAAACATGGGGTGAGGAGTAACCCTGGTACTCCCAGCCCCTGGGCCTACAGATGCCGTGTAGTAAAATGGGTCTCCTGGGAAGGCTGGCTCGGTTTAGGAAGCACCTTGTTTATTGTCATGGAAGAAAGTCTGCCTCTTGTGCCGAGGTTATAGAACATCTTCATTTGCAGGAGCCTCAGAACTAAAGGCTGTTCAAGGCAAGGTTAACCATGGCTTATTTGGAGCCCGGGAAGGAAGAACTGTACTCTTCAGATCTTTTTGACAAAAACCAGTTATTTCCGGTATAAGTGTTGCCAGTTAGATAGTATTTGTTTTAACTGACTTTGCCGTGGTTTGTCCTGTTATTGTGTGTTTAAACGACTTATCTCCAAACTTTCCAGTAGCTTTGTTTAAGAACAAAATTCTTAAAATGGGATAGACCATGACGGTTATACTTTGGTGTTGCAGATCCTGTGAAGCCATCTGGCGGCTCCTCACAAGCACCAGTGGATTTACCTTTGGCTATAAATACAGCACCACCATCCACCCAGGTGGATTCCTCCTCGGCTGCTCTGCCTCCTCCGTATCAGCTCATTAACCTTCCACCACATCTGGAAACTCTTGGCATCCAGGAGGATCCTCAAGACTACCTCCTGCTAATCAACTGTCAAAGCAAGAAGCCTGAACCCACCAGGTAAATTGAATATGCCTGTGCGTGTGTGTGTGTGTGTGCGTGTGTGTGTAAATTTAGGAATTTTACCTTTAAACTTTTTTAGCCCAAACTTGGAGGTTTAAAAGAAACCATCTTTATAGGCTTGTATTATAGGCTAATATTTCAGGTTTATATTCCTCCACTAATGATTTCTGATATTCAGGAGATTTCATTGAAGAAACACATTCTCTGCCATTTTTGGCAAAGAACACTTGAACCTACAAGGCTCTTTTGGAATCTGTCTCCTGTTGTATAGTCTTTGTTACAGACTCACAGTGTTACTTGCTTAACAGATTTCACTGATTTATAAATGGTGATCTTGCTCCATTTCTTATGTGATTGTAAACCAGCCAAGGGTCATCTTTTGTTTCTGAAGAAGGAGAGGAATATCTACTCCTAGAAGATTTTGAAAGCAAAACGAGTCCATTGCAGTGAGTGTGTTGTGGTTGCTTTGGATCTGTGTGAGAAATTAATCATACAGGTAGAATCCCAATATAGCAAATTCTATGGAATATACAAATTGAGTTTTAGTGAAATTTGATGAAATCGAATATATTGCTAAAAACCATGAAACTTTGGAATCTTCATACCTACCAGTGAAGTAGAGCTTGCCCCAAGGCTTGACTTCACAGATTTTTTTTTTTTTTATAATGATTTTATTTTTTCCTTTTTTCTCCCCAAAGCCCCCTGGTACATAGTTGCATATTTTTAGTTGTGGGTCCTTCTAGTTGTGGCATGTGGGACGCCGCCTCAGCATGGCTGGATGAGCAGTCCCATGGCCGTGCCCAGGATCCGAACCGGCAAAACCCTGGGCCACCGAAGTGGAGTACATGAACTTAACCACTCGGCCCCAGGGCTTCACAAATTTTTAAGTAGAAGGAAGTATACGGATTTCAAGGCTTGACCAGAGGTATCATAAAAGCCTTTCCTGAGTCCTTGGTTTCCCTGTCGGCTCCATGTCTGCTCTCACAACCCTCTCTTCTTCTAAGCTGTAAAATATTTTAATTTGATCATTCTTGTCACTTGATGTTGGAAGGCTTAAGGTAACAGAGTTGGAGCCAGAAAATGATGACTAGGAGGCCTGTCTCTGCCATTAATAGCCATATGCCAACTAGTGGTTTGGGGTATATTTATTATCTAAATTTGCAGATGAAAGTGGGGGTGAATTGCATAGGAGATCTGAAAGATATTTTTTAAACGGGGTTATTAGATACTAAACATTTGTATAACAAAAGCGGTTTTTTTCATGTAGAAAGTGACTGCTACTGGCCTAGGATTGTACAAAGCACTTATTCAAAAATTTTTATATAGAATGTATTAAGATCCACAAATTAGTTTCTGTGAACCATTCCTTGAGATAATGAAAACAGCTCACAAACATTCCAAAGATGGGTTTCTATATATTTGTTGTAATGGGATTTTACCTGTAAGAGCAAAAAAGAAAATTTATAAATCAACACTAGTTAATAATATCAAATTCTAACTTGATTTTGCTTGTTTGGTGTGAGTATTTAAAATTACACACTTGCAAATTTGTTACCTATGCTACTAACTAAGATTTTATTCTATGGAAATTCACAATTATTTTTCACTATCAACTTTTTAAAACCAACTGCTAAGTGACAGTTTTCAGTACCTTTCTTTGCATATAGTATTTTACGTTGATCTCACTGATGTCACCGCTTTCCTGTCGTAGTTGAAATTATACTTAAAATCATCGCTCAGGTATATTTTGTGTCTAGATTTTGCAAAAGTGACAGTTAAATATTTGTGAAGTCCCCACTATGTGCCCACATTTTGCTGGTTGCTATGAAGCTTCAAAACTAGTTATATAAGATCCAGCCCCCTCAGATACAGTTGCCTTCAGAGTTTATAAGTAAAGCTTATAAAGAAGTCAAAGCCTGCAAACACTAAGTGTTTATATATATGAGAATTACCTTGCAAACTCTCATTCACCCTGCGAGAGTCAGCTCAGACATGTGCTTCTCCTGGAAAAATTCCCCCAAACTCCCAGCCTGGATTAAATGCCTCTCGGTTTTCGTAGCATACTAGTTGTGCCTCCACATCTCTATTTTGTCGCACAGTTGGAAATACCTTGATATTTGTATTTATTCTCCACTAAACTGTAAGATAGGCAAGGACAGGAAACTTACTTCTCATGGTACCTCTAGATTGTCTTAACTCACGTGTTTGAATTACATGAAGTGAAAATTTTAGACCTTGTGTATGTGCATTAGAAATTCGGAGAAGGGACAGTGCAAGTGTTTTTAAGATGGAGGGTGAGAAGCTTCATAGGAGACACTTGGTTGGTGAGAGAAAAGGAGGCATCATTAGTAATTTGTGTAAGAATGGCTTGAGGGAAAGGAGAGGTGAGAATGAGAGAGGTGGGAGGAAGACAGAGGAGTAGAGCCTTCTCAGAGGGTTTGATGTGGGGACTAGTAGAACATAACATAGGACATATAAGGTGGAGCCAGGTTATTAGTAGCCTCAATGCAAAGTGAAGTAGTTTGTGGGATTTTTATAGTTTCCACAGCCTGTAGGGACCCTCAACAGGATTTTCTCTGAGTAGGTGAGTGATATGAAAACTGTGTTTTGAAAATGTTGATCTTCCAGCAGTACAGCAGGATGGTCCATGGATGGATTGGAAAAGGGAGAAAGTGGAGGAAAGGAGCCCACTTAGGAGGGTTCAGTGGTGTAGATCTCAGCAGAGACACAGGCCTGAATTTGAGGTAGTGACAGTGGGAATAGAGCAGAGGAATAGATACTTGGTTAGGAGGAAGGCCTTTGTATGTGCCTGAGTGATGGTGTAGAGCAAAGAGAATCAAAGCTGATTGGGTTTTGAGCCTAGAGAATCTGCATGAAGACATTTCTTTTAATGACAAGTCAGAAAGGCAATCGATTTGAGAAGTAAGTTGAGTTTGGTTTGATACTCATGAGCAAGGTAATACTGGGTCACCAAGTAGAAATATATCTGAAGACTTTGAAAATGTGGAACTCAGAGTTTGGTGAGAAGATGGGAGTTGTCAGCATTCAGTGGAAGGTAAGGTCATGAGAAAGGAGGATTTTTTTAATGGTGTGTGCGGTAAAGAATTGGAGGACTGAATGCTGTTGGCCATTCCCAGTTGGAGAGACCGGAAGAAGGAGCCAGTCAATGAAACAAGGAAATAATCAGTGAGGGAGAAGGAAAACCACGATATGGCGATATGGGTTCTCTGATACCAGAGGGGGAAAGTTTCAGTGAATAAATGTAATACACAGTGCCAGATGTTACTAAGGAAGCAGAGAAGATAAGCCCTTAAAAAAAAAAAAAACTATCACGAGTTGTTTTTTTAAATATTAAGTTCCTACAGGACTTTGGCCAGACACTTAGTCGTTACGGTATCTTGTTTAACATTAAGGAAGCGCGAGTATGCCAGTGTGGTTAGTGTCATTTTGGCTTGTACCCAAATTTTGTGATACCACAAAATGCAGAGACTGAAAATGTACCCAAAGCATGAAATAGACTCTAATGAGATTCCTCCAGGTTGAATACTGTTTGGAGTTGGCTAACTCTCTGGCTTGTACTTTGATCCTCTATAGGATTGGCTAAATGTTTATTAAAGGAAATTAGTAGAAAGGAAGATACACAAAGCCTGTCAAACTGCCACCTCCTTGTAGATCACATTGAATTTCTTCACTACCAGGTGATCATTACACTTTCAGTTTTACAGAACAACACATTTGCCACAGGTGGGCTTAAGAGCAATGGATCAACTTGACAAACTGTGTTGGCACGAGGGTTTTGCATGCTCGTCAGAGGAAATGCTATTCCTTGTGTCTATGCCTTAATCATTTACCTTTCTCAGAGTTTTGTACCCTTCTAATTCCAGTGCTTCAGGGATCGCAGTTTTATGTGTGGATTTAATAAGTGGAGTTGGGGGTGTGGGCAGGTGCAAGACAGGAATTAGGGAGAATGCTTTTGGTGGTTTTGTGGTGGCGGTTTTGTTGTCTGGTATATAATCATAGAAACTAAGGAAGATTCATGCTTTAAATCTTATGGATCACACAAAAAAATATAATAAAAAAAGCCATGTGTTTTGATTGCTAAGCTATAAATATATTTATTAGAATGTAGACTTATGTCTTTACCATGTTTTATTTTGTCATTAACAATTTTTATTTAGAACACACGCTGATTCTGCCAAATCCACCTCTTCTGAAACAGACTGCAATGATAACGTTCCTTCTCATAAAAACCCTGCTTCCTCCCAGAGCAAACATGGAGTAAATGGCTTTTTTCAGCAGCAAATGATGTATGACTCTCCACCGCCTCGTGCTGCATCTGTTTCTGTAGACTCGAGCCTTTATAACCTGCCCAGGAGTTATTCCCACGATGTTTTACCAAAGGTGTCCCCATCGAGTACCGAAGCCGATGGAGAACTGTATGTTTTTAATACCCCATCCGGGACATCGAGCGTAGAGACTCAGATGAGGCATGTGTCTATTAGTTATGACATTCCTCCAACACCTGGTAATACTTACCAGATTCCACGAACATTTCCAGAAGGAACCTTGGGACAGACGTCAAAGCTAGACACTATTCCAGATATTCCTCCACCTCGGCCACCGAAACCACATCCGGCTCATGACCGATCTCCTGTGGAAACGTGCGGCGTCCCACGCACGGCCTCAGACACTGACAGTAGTCACTGTATCCCTATAGCAGGGGTGCCGCCATCTCGTAGCAATACCATCTCCACCGTGGATTTGAACAAGCTGCGAAAAGGTCAGCTCTAGTTGGCTTCTACTATGTTAGAGGTTAATGATAGAAAGTCTGTTTTTCTGACTATGTGTTCTTTTAAGCACACTATGATGTGAAATGAGAGTCCCTTTTTTTCTTCAGCCCCGCAGTTACTTACTCATGTAGTGAAGATATCAGAGTCTCAGTAGATCCCTGGATGGGTGTTTGTGTGTGCAACGTGTGCCTGGGTGCATGTTCTGCTGGAAGGGAGGAAAGAGTTGGCGTTTTCATCCCTGGAGAAGTATGGCCTTAGTAATACCTTCCTGCCTCAGGAAGCGTGCACCCATGTCTCCCACTTTCTGTATATCCTGGGCAGGTAGACCCTCTGATAGGGCAGAGGAGCAGGAAATGGACCAGCCACAAAGCCCCTCCGAGTCATACCTTTTCCTGTGTGTGTGCCATTATGGCCGCTTCTGTGTCACATCTGTTGGGCTCCGTTTCCTTCCTTCCTAGATAAGCAATTTTTATATTTTGTCTAACAGGTGATATTCAATTCAAGTCAAGCCATTCTGAGTTTTGTTTGCTTGGTTTTATTTATTTTTAAAGGTCTGAGTCTTCTCTCTATCCTTAACCATTTCACTTATTCCTATACCCTCTCACATATACTCATACTAGAGCCTGCCAAAAGTTACAGACCTCGAGAAGGGAAAAATCGAGTCCGCTTTATACTCTTGAGATTCTTCAAGTCCTAAAAACAGAAAGGCAAAGTTTAAAATGCACATACTCTAAAAACTGTGTGCTAATGTTTCTCTCTTTTGGGGTAGAGTTATCCAGCTGTCTTAGAGAAGAGAAAGATTTAAAACTTCATGAATAGTACTTGTACCAATACTTATTTAACCATTCAATGCCAGTTTCCAACTCCCTTCTTGAAGTAGCTGTATAATCTGGTTGTAAGTTACTAACATATAAGTTAGGCCCAAGGTGGTGCAAAAGATGAGAAAATAGAAGTATTTCTTTTCTCTATCTTTAGATAATTCATCTCATCACAGGCTTAGACATCCACTCACTGTCATGATCAGTTAACTGGTGCTCTTGGCATATGAGTGAGTGTCTGCATTCTCTAGTGGTTTAATGTGCCAATTCAAGATATTCTGTGAGCATCCTTTTTAAAATCTGTATGTCTGCATGTTCCTGCGTGCTTGTGTGTGAAGAAAGAGAATAGGTCAATCCTGATTACCCAGAGAACTGGGAAAGCTAGGAAGAAATGTTGATCATTTGTTCTCTATTTTAGATGCTAGTTCTCAAGACTGCTATGATATCCCACGCACATTTCCAAGTGACAGATCTAGTTCACTTGAAGGCTTCCATAACCACTTTGTAAGTATAATTGACCTCGGCATCATCAACTGTATTTCATTGTCAAAATCTTCGTGCTTAGTGCCCTGAGACTAAATGAGATGTTGTAATAAAAGTCCCTTCACATCCATATGAATAGGTGTGACTTAAAATTGCGTTTTCCTGTTTGACAATAGTTTTGTTTATTAAAAGAAATGTGTGTGTGTTTTAGAAAATCAAAAATGTATTGACGGTGGGAAGTGTATCAAGTGAAGAACTGGATGAAAATTATGTCCCAATGAATCCCAACTCTCCGCCACGACAACATTCCAGCAGTTTTACGGAACCAATTCAGGAAGCAAACTATGTGCCAATGACCCCAGGGACGTTTGATTTTTCTTCATTTGGAATGCAAGTTCCCCCTCCTGCTCACATGGGCTTCAGGTCCAGCCCAAAGACCCCTCCCAGAAGACCAGTTCCTGTTGCAGACTGTGAACCACCCCCCGTGGATAGGAACCTCAAGCCAGACAGGAAAGGTAAGGGAAGCCTGGCATAGCAAAAGAGTCGGGGTTGCCAGTTTAGATCTGCGTTCAAGTGTCCTTAAATCCAAAACAGAATTGGGACTAGAAATTCAGGAGCATTTCATATTACCTTAGTTATCAACTTCTTTAAGTAAAGCAATATGGCTACTCATAGATTAATAATTATTATATGTTGATGCCCAGGTGAGATTTTTAAGTCTTCTGTCTCTGGAGCAGAAGTTACAAACCGAAATATTGAAAAGGATTGGCAGGCAAGAGGAGAGAATTAGGAGAAACTAGAATGCCCTTGCCCCATCTCAAAGGAGTAACAAACTGCTCCTTGGCTACAGTCCTTTGTTGACTTGTGAAAATAACATGGGCCTGTACAGGCAAATCTTCTGTTCTATCAAGAGAAGCCAGAAATTTCAGATTTTATATGTATTATCTTTTGATTTTTAAGTTCTGTCAGACAATTTAATTATTAAAAATATACATATATTGCAGACCAAACCAAACACTTCTGTGAGCTAGACATGGCCTTTGGCTGCTGTTTTGTCACCTCTTCTCCAGAGTATATAATGTCAAATCTGACCTGAGATGATTAATGCGCTGGGCATAATTCTTTAAGAACAGTGAGGTTGCTTGTATAATCTCTCCATTCTGTTCCTATAACAACTTCTTAAAAGTGATCCTGCCTTTGCTGGGGTATAAATAGATGCTTCTAGTCTATTCTTTCATACTGGCCTTCATAAGTAATGTTAAATTCTAAGGTAGCATGGTCTGTTAAGAACTCAGTGTGAAAGAACCTTTTGAGCCAAATTGGCAGTGGGCACCCAAGTTTGAGTGGTTAAATCCAGACAACTAGCTGTGTTGCAGCATGCTGATAGTGTGACTTAATCTCCACAACCAAAGAAGTTGGTATATTGGCTGTGTGGTGAGCGGCGCCATTTCTGGGCAGTTGAGCAGATTTGGAAAGTCTCATGCTATATTTAGCTTTTTAAGAGCATGTGATGTTTGTGTAAATTTCTCATTAACCTGGGCTTAGATCGTTATTCATTCTACTTGAGTGCCAGCTGTGAGGAACAGAGACTGAGACTCATTCTGAATGTCTTAAGAAAATGAGTTTTGTTTAGTTTTGCTTTTAAGTAAATAAGGCTACCCCTGTGCTGAAACGAGAAAGTTGTGTGGGACTGAGGCACGCTGGGGAGTGTCACTTTGTCCTGCTCTCTCTGCATTTCTGTCCTAAGGGAGGTCTTTGCATCTGCTTGGTTCTCTCTCACGTTCTTCTCTTCTGTTTAACTGCGTATCCTCTCCTTTACGTGGTTTCTGCTATCTGAGAGCTTTGGCCTGCAATGCCCCTTGGTGGCCTCGATTCTGCCTCGTGGCTCCTTTTTATGTGTCCTTATGTAGCCTCCACATCTGTTGCTAATCGCCTCGTTCATTACTTACTCACTTCAGATTGTGCAGAGAGAATTTGATTGGTCTCATTTGTCTTTTCACACCAGGCCACATGGTAGATTGTAGGCCAGCTCGTAGATTGGCTGCCATTGGGTCAAGTGCCCACCTTTGGTCTGACAGCTGCAAAGACAGTCATGTGTAACACCCACAGCCACCCAGACAACGCAGGCAGCAGGGCTGTAATCAGGGATGGTTATCTTAGAAAGGGTGTGAACGTCACTCTTTTTTTATTTGTTAACTTTTCCTTTTTTTTCTCTTTGTCCTTATTTGTCTTTACATCTATTGAGACATTATTAGTCATTTTCTTCTTTGCATGCAATATGCAAAAGTATGTTTGGACATGTATAGATTCAGAATTGAGTCCACAGATCGATGAAGGATTAAGATAACATGTATCGTGAACTCTTTGAAATATTGAAATACTCATTTTAATGCTAAACTGATTCTTTCCTTATTTTCCTGTAATTAGTGCACATTAGCAGTGAACCTCTACTTTTTAACCCCATACGTAACAGTTTTATATCTTGAGGTGTCCCAATAAATGTGGAGGTGACGTGGTTTAGGTGAGGGCACAAAGCCGAGTCCTCCCTGCTCTGGTCTCCTGCCTGCTCCATCCTCCCCTCGGGCTCTGCAGAACACAGTTTGGAAATTCTCCATATATTTCACAGTTAATGATTCCACATGGTCAGCATAATGCAGAATCAGAAAAGATCCCTATTTATATGTTAAAAAGTTTTAAGATCATAATGATATGCTTTTAGTATCATCTGTGTCTGACAGAGCTCATATACCTCATATATTATTTTATATATATATCATAATACTATGGCATCTATATGTATATCATATATATTACATATATGTATAATTATCCCTCCCCGTGTACATAGTAAAAGTACTATATATTCTAGTAGATAGAATATATAGTATTCTATGTATATATATATTATAGTAATATATTAATCTCTAGATTAATTGTCCTAGTCCTCTAAACCAACCTACAGTGACTTTACAGTGGAAGAGAACAAAGTAGGTTCTTGATTACTTCTGGAGATTGTGTTCAGTCTTTTAAAGATTAACAGAACTGATGAGAGACAGTCCTGAGCTCATTGGCCAGATAATTTATTTGGTATCTTTGCTTAGATACAAAATGAACTGAGAAAGCACCCAGAATAAAGTACCACATAGTTTTTAGCAAAATCGAGGAAAATAGATTTAGCAAAACAATAAAGAGGTTGCTAAAACCGTAGTAATAGAAAAAGCTTTTTGCTTTTTTTTCAGTACTATTCTGCTGTTTGAGTATATATGATACAAGAGAGGAGGCATGAGAAAATATTTGATATTACAGGGCAAACTTTGTCAACTCGCTTATAGCTATTCAAGAAAAACACATTTTAAAACTCAAATTCAGGACTTGGAGCAAAGTTTATCCATAAAAATGTAAACTGTAGGACAAATGTCTTATTTGGTCACGAAAATCTTCTCATTGTACATAGCATCAGATGAGTCGGTTTTAATTTCAAATTTTCTGACAGCAGATACGTGACTCAACCTATTATTCTAGTATTTCTTATTAACCAAACCTCATAATAAGCAATTCTAATCCTATCAAATATGACTTGATTGGTTTCAAAGGCCAGTGTAGCCAGTTCAACACCCAATATAACCGGTTTCTGTTATTGTCTTCTTTGGAAGGAGCTGTAATAAATGAGTAACATTCTCGTGTTGTTTATACCCCTAATTATAGATGTCAGCTGCTGTAGTTAGTTGTATAGATGAGTTTTTTGAATACTTCTGAGTAATTGAAGCTGCAGAAATACACGGATGTTCTAAACACTTGTGTTTACTGTATTTTCATGGACCCCTCGTCCATCACCCGACTTGTAGTAGCTATATTTTCACCCAAAGTATTTCTGTCACCATAGTATTTGTTTTGAACCAAGCTTTGTGTATATTACCAGAGGAGGAAAACATAATTTGCATGTATTTTATTAAATATTAGGAAAGCAGATGAGTCATTGGAAATGAAGGGCAAAATATGTTTTGATTGCTTTAATTGAAACTTTTATATTTTAATGGAAACAAAATTTTGTAAATATGGGAAGTTTCTGTAAGATATCTATTGTGGCTTCTCTTAAAGTAAGTCATTACATAAATCTACCATATGTCGGGCCAGCCCGGTGGCGCAGCGGTTAAGTGCCCACGTTCTGCTTCAGCGGCCCAGGGTTCACCGGGTAGGATCCCAGGTGCGGACGTGGCACGGCTTGGCAAAAGCCATGCTATGATAGGCGTCCCACGTATAAAGTAGAGGAAGATGGGCATGGATGTTAGCTCAGCGCCAGGCTTCCTCAGCAGAAAGAGGAGGATTGGCAGAAGTTAGCTCACGGCTAATCTTCCTCAAAAAAAAAAAGTACTTTTATACTGTAATAAATGTTTGGAAGAAGAATGAATGATACCAGTAAATATAACTGGATTTTAATAAACAAGTCTGAAAGTTTGCATCTCAAGTCAGAGTTCTGGTTTGACATTAGTTTAAAGGAAATGAGTATGGAGTAAATTTTGATGGCATAGCCTTTACATGTGAGTTTTTTTCCACTAAATATTCTTGACCTTCCAATATAACTATCCTAATTATATTCCTCTTTATACAATGAGAACGTTAAAACAAGTGTAAAAGCTTTTTAGTATGCTACTTGCTATTATATTTTAGAATTAGCAGAGGATAATAATGTGAATTATTCTTTTTGTTTCTTGATTTTTGAGATGCCTACTGGAAATCTGTAAAGCTTTGGAAGAGTAAATAAATTAGGCTAAGTTAAACCTGTAATAATACGGAAAATAAGTTTTCCACTCTGAGTTGAATTTATGTAAGCAGTACCTATTAAAATAATACTGAATAGTGTGTGGACTTTTCAGAGGATTGCATCTGTTTATTCGAAACATGTCCTCATGTGACTGTCTTGACCATGGGATGACTTTTGAAACAAGATTCAGTTCCCTCTTAAAGGACAAACAAATATGACATTGATCAGATTAAACACCACCAGCTTTAAGAGAACTACAGTTCATCAACCTACCAGTGATAGGATATTCCCTTTGCTAGGTCTTGGGTCTCCAAAAACAAGGAAGAAAAGGTGGCTTTCCTCAAGAAGCTCACTGGCCAGTGGAGAAAGTAGAAAAGTAAACACATTATCATAATTAGCGTGGAAGGGGCTGTGGTTGAGGTAAGCTCTTGGCGCTATGAGCTAAGCTCCCCTGAGGAAAGTCTGAGAGGGCGAGCGGCAATTAATGATGGCAGAGGAGGGGGGATGGCAGAGGATCTTCTAGTCAAGAATAAACAGCATGCCCAGATCCTTTAAAAAGAGCAGGGAAGGGACTGGCTCAGAGTTGTGAGTGGGAGGGAAGGAATAAGGAAGGGAAAGCAGGAGGAGAGTATGAATGGAGAACAACGTCAAACACCTTGCAGGGCCTGACCCTGAAGGCATTATAATCCATGCTAATGAGTTTGGGCATTATTCTGAGGACACCATTTAAGAGTTTTATGCAGGCCAGTAATCATCAGGTTGGCTTCTAGAAAGCTCTTTCTAAGATGTAAGGGTATGATAGAAAAAAAAAAAACCTGGATGCTTTAATGTAAAATGTTAAAAATCACACTTTTTTCAGCAGCTTCCTCAGAGAGTGCTTTGCCCAGTTTTCCAAATCTGGGGTTCTTGAAGCGTTGGTTTAGAGATGATCGAACGGGAAAGGCAGAACCAAAGTCCCTTTTTCTCCTTTCTCTCCTCATAAGTAAAACTGAGCTGTCATTTGGGTATGACTTTCATTTCTGTCTGGAACATAAGTGTCAAATTGAGTTTGGAAGGACATAAAGAAATAAACGTAACAAAATGCCTGAGTGACTCAGTGCAATTCAGCACACCATTTCCACCTTACAACTTTTGTCCTAAAATCAACCTGAATCTTTGCATGGAGTAGAAAATACATGTACATTTTACAAAAGCAGTTTAAAAATCTCACTTAATACAATATTTTTCTATTAAGAAAGCCAGGGAGTGCCCCTGAGAGTACTTGAGAGATGGCATTGGTTTGGAGGAGAGATGGTCAGTTAGGTGTCAAGTATCGGAAGGATAATTGGAAGTGACCTGTCAGACAATTGAAGTATGGCACAAAATCATAACGAGGTAAATTTCACAGTCACGTGACCTTGGTTATTTAACCACAAACACAGATAAGATGCCAAAGGTGAAAAGTTGAGAAATGCCAAGAGCGACCACAGGTAGATAACCACACTGAAAAATCAGGAGGGGCGGCTGAGAGCTAACGACAGTGGGTCTTTCAGAAGAGGAGGAGGACATGTTGAGTAAGCCCCAGCAGACCAGAAGGAGTTCTAAAAGCAGTTTGCAATTGTTAAACATCACATCACTCATGTGTCAGCCATCCGTGGCATTCAGGCAGATGTGAGATCTCAAACTGAACTGAGGAGTTTAAAGGTGAACTCTGAACACTGATTTCCTAAGGTTCTCTTTTCCCTGAAGGGAGAGAGAGAGGTAAGGTAGTGTGCTACATGGCACAGGAGCGCACTACACCAGCAGGGTGAGGCTAGAGGAAGCCTTCCTGTGGCCTCTGATTAATGTTGTAACCTGAGCAAGTCTCTTAACCTCTTCTGTTTCTAGGAGTTTCTGATCCATAAAACTAAGAACTGGATTTGGTCTAAAAGGGCCTTTCAACTGTAAAATAAACGTATTTTTCTATAGTAAAACCTACCCTCTGCCTCTTACTTTTTTTTGAGAGGAAGTACACTATTTTGAGGAGTTTAAAAAGCTGACATCCTCCTTTGTTTTAGAAGAGTGCCCTGTGTTGTGGGCCCTGAATAGATCAGCCTTAGGGTAGGAGCATGGCCCCACATTTTAGCAGTCACATTTTAAGCTAGGCCTGCCTCATTTCTGAATAAACTCAATGGATTAACTGTCTGACTTAGAAAATTAGAGAATCTTTGCTTTTTCTTTCTTATAACTTAGAGAATCACATTTTAAGAAATTCGTAGATTTGGGTAAAATGCTAGATATCAGCATTTCATCAGCAAAGATTTTGTCATCTCATAGATGTCAACAACTTTGTAAATTCCAGGAAAAAAGAAAATTTGGTGACACTGAGAATAGTGTGGCTTAAATTACTGATTCAAATGATATTGCTACTCTTGGCGTCCGGGCTTCTCATGGGGAAAGTGTCTGAGACCAGCTGCTGGGTGTTGACCTTGTACTTCTGATAGACTTTGGGCAGTGCTTGTATGTGGCAGAGATTGAATGAAAAGAAAATGATGGCCACCGAATTAAGGCTTTCACATACTTAAATTGAAGCTAGACAATCAGCACTTCGAGAATCTAGACATCTTATCTTTGCCAAGTGATGCCACCAGGCAGCCACTAAGTATCCAGGGGAAACAAGTGTTGGTCTTGTTTTTGATCTTGGATTAGTGAACATTGTAACATTCTCCTGCTTCTCTAGAGGGACTTTGGTCATGAGGTGAAAGAACAGTCTGATTAAGGTTTTTAAAACATCTCCATCAAATTAAGAAAGTAATATTGTAGGGAAGTAGGCCTTGGGGCTTTCTTATGAGACACCAACCTTCAAAGAAAAGATGTAAGTGAGATCTGACTGAGGGGTTGTTTTCTAAGACATGTTAGAAATTCTAACAGCTAACATGGCACGTGTTTTTCCTCCCTTCCCCAAAATAAAGATAACAACTAACCAGGCTGGTTATCCCACTTTAGCCCTACCATCTTTTATAACACTTTGCTTATTACAGTGTTGCATGCAGCTTCCTCCTCTCCCTTGTACTGAGCATGAATGATATGTAACAAGATTGAAATATTCTCCACAAACAAACTTTTGTTTATGCTTTTGAGATGTAACATTTCTGCTCAGGACTCTGTTGCTTTTTTACAGAATCCATTTTTCCGGTTAAAAAGTAACGTTATATTAAGAGAGTCTTCTTTTTACCAATTAGGTCAGAGTCCTAAAATTTTAAGACCCAAACCCCATGGTTTAGAGCGAACTGATTCACAAACCATAGGTGACTTTGCTACAAGAAGAAAGGGTATGTACTTTAGCATCGCATGCTGGATGGGGCGTTGGGAATTTATTTATTTTATGATGTTTTTTCTTAAAAAGTAAAGGAGAAGAGTCTTAAGTACTACTGTTGTTGTAAATGGAGCTTCCCAGCACGTTATTTCTAAAGTGAATGCTTCCCATAATCCACGAGTGTACTTGTTATGCCATTAACAGCAGCATGTTAAATATTTGATAATATGTGATATTGAGTCTTGTCCTTTTGCATTATTCTTTTAACCTTTTAGATATCAATACATTGTTTTCTTTAAGCTTGTTTGTGAGCTGCTTGTGAGTTCCAGTTGTCCCCTGTATTTATATATAATGTATGTGTCTGTTCTGAGACAATACAGATCATTTCCATGGATTAATTATTTTATGCCATTACTTAGAATTTGACACTAAACTGCTGTTAGCCTTTGGGTTTCAAAAAAAGTGAAACATAAAGAAATACTTTCAGTTGGCACACTATTCTGTATATGTCCATTTTAAGTGTATAGATGAGCAAAATTATTTTAACTCGAGCTTAAATCAGTCTAGCCTTCACAAGATCACATTGAGCTTTTTGTATTTGAGTTGACAAAAATGCTTAGTTATAAGCCTCAGTGAATCTAGATAATCCTTTAAAATGACTACCTATGTTACAATTTGTTGGTAATTTTAACATAGTTGATTAAAATTACACATATATGGACAAAGACTAGGAGGAAACCTGGAAAAATGAAAACAAATTTTTTAGAGTGGTAGGGTGAAATGTAACTAAAATATTTACCTAATGTATTTAAATAGTCTCCTAAAATATAGTTAATATTAACAAATAATATTGTTTTAGTACTTTGCATGTTTCATAAATTTCTGAAAAATGTCTGTCTTGACTTTAAGAAAAGGGCTGAGTGCTCTGTGGTTATGTGCTAGCATAATAATTACTGCAATCATGAGGTAAATAAGTAAACACCACTATTAAATAAAACTAATAAAATATTAGCATTTATTTCTTTTTATTTCATTTGGTAAAGGATATTGTTGGTTAAATTAAGCTAAAAATTTGAGGTAATTGTTTTCTCAGAACTGAATTTAAATCTAAAGCTATAAGTATTGCTTTGTTTTTTTGTTTCCAGACTTGGCATGAATTAATTTAAAAGATTTGATCATTAATTCTTTTTTTCCGGTTTTTGGTGTCAGCGAAGTTTTGCACTTAATACTTTCTGTACATGATTTCACGTGTAGTAGTATAACTCATGCTCCAATATAGAAGAGTAGGAACGTCTTTACATAGATTAAATCTCCATATTTGAGGATTAAATTAGTGAGAAAAATGAAATAAGGAAATGAAAAGTGTAAATCAAGTAATCGTAAAGGAATTGGGTTCTATTACCCTTTCTCATTTACTTTATATTCATAAAATATTTGCTTAAATTTAAGAAGCAACATGTTGTAATAGAGCTTTAGACTTTGAGTCAGCAATCATGAAACAGCATCTGATCTAGCTTTCGCCCCTGATTATTTAGCTGTGTAACCTTGGGCAAATCACATAACATCCGTGGACCTCATTTCCTGTGTGAAATTTTCTGGTCTTAGGTGAACTCTGGCAATAACACATAAATAGAGATATAAAGAGAGGATCTTGTTTTGTTTTCCAAATTTCTGTATGCTGAAATCTCTTTCTCTCTCTTTTATTTCAGCCAAGCCAGCACCTTTAGAAATAAAACCTTTGCCAGAATGGGAAGAATTACAAGCCCCAGTTAGATCTCCCATCACTAGGAGTTTTGCTCGAGAGTAAGTCTTTAAAATACGTAGGTTGATGGTTCGTCGTAATGGAAAATGTCTGCAACATTGGCTCCCAAAGGATGATTTGAGGACCCCCCCCCTCTTTGGGGTTCTGTGAAGTCAGACTATTTTCATTAAGATACTAAAATGTCCTTTGCCTTTTTCCACTCTCTCATGAGTGTACACTGGAGTTTTCCAGAGGCTACATAATATTTGATGATATTGTTGTGACAGCTAATGGAATGTGTATTTGTATGCTCTTGTGTTTTTAAAAAATGTTCTTTTGTTTGTAATAGTGAATATCAATAGATATAACCCATACAAATAAAGTTCCTTGGGGTTCTCAATAATTTTTAAGAGCGTTAAGAATTCATGAGGCTAGAAATTTCTGAGAACTACTGATATTGAAAATATGGTAGTTTCTTGTGGGGATTATTTAATCAAGATTTATTTAAATGTATATAGAGAAATGAAAAGAATATACAAAGTCGCAAACCTGTGCTGAATATGTGTTCATGTTTTATGTATATATATAGTTAGGTTTTCTTTAATAGTAATTCTTAAATCTTCCTTTTTATATCTGTGACTTTCTACTTATCCCTCAAATCACTAGCAATACTTTTTTGTAACTTGATGCCCAAAAATATACTCTTACAATATAGCTGTACATATTAATTGTGCATTTAAATGTGTACAATAAATGGTTTTATAATAAATCTGTATAATAAATGTAAACGTAAATGAATATTTCTGAAAGTGTGAACTATCATTTTTATTTTGAAAGTGATTTTAGAAGTTTTTGTCAAGGCTTATGTTTGTGATGATCATTTCTGTAATTAGCTCCTCTAGGTTTCCCATGTCCCCCCGGCCAGATTCAGTGCACAGCACAACTTCGAGCAGTGACTCGCACGACAGTGAAGAGAATTATGTTCCCATGAACCCAAACCTGTCCAGTGAAGACTCGGTATGTGAAGTCATCTTAACTTCTCTCTTCCTGAGCAGCCTTTCTAAATCATTCATGCTAGAACCTTTCTTCCAGTCTATACATTATACCCTTAATCTTTCTTTATATACTTAACGAAAAAGGATAAAAGACAGCTTTTTTAAATGCTTTTTAAAAATAGTTTCACAAAGTCTAAGACCAATGAGGAGTCAAAGTGTAATATCAATATTTATAAAGTAGATATAAATTAGTCAAAAATCATAAAAGTTTTCCAGTTACATTTCTTTTAAGATGTACTTGATTTTTGTTTTTTGTGGTTCTTTTTTTTTCTTGAGGAAGATTAGCCCTGAGCTAACTGCTGCCAATCCTCCTCTTTTTGCTGAGGAAGACTGGCCCTGAGCTAACATCTGAGCCCATCTTCCTCTACTTTATATGTGGGACACCTGCCACAGCATGGCTTGCCAAGTGGTGCCATGTCTGCACCTAGGATCCGAACCAGTTAACCCCGGGCCACCACAGTGGAATGTGCACACTTAACCACTGTGCCACTGGGCCGGCCCCAATGTACTTGATTTTTGAAACTACTCAAGAAAATCTTTTATACTGAAAGCATTTTATAATGCAGTTCTCCAGGCCCACTTCAGGGCCCTCTCATGGTGAAATGATCATATACAGATATTTTGGTAGTCTTTCAATAATACACCCTTAGATAAGGCTTAACCATTAAAGAAGATCTGTTACAATCTTAATTTATTTCAGACTAGCTATGTTACCACAAGGCACAAGAATTTTATAATAGTAGCAAGTGTTATGTTTCCCAGAAATCAGGTGGTTGCCAGAAAATACTTCAGATGTTTAAGAATGCAAGCCAATTTTAATTTCTTAAAATATTTTGCTTTTGCTTTTCCTTGAATCAGATTCAGTGCTTGCTCTGTTATTTGTGTTTTGGTAGATAAGTGTATCGGTTAGGATGAGATTCAGCCTCTGAGTAACAGAAAATAAACAAATTAGCAGTGACCTAAGATAGACCTTTCTTTCCCTTTCCATGGAAAAGTCCAGAGACAGGCAGACCGCGGTGGTTGTGGCAGCACTGTGCTACAGAGCCCTCAGGGATTCCGGCCCTTCCGGCTCTCCAGTGTGCTGTTCCCATAGAACAAATTGATGCTCCAGCCAACAGATTCCCATTCCAAGCTGCAGAGTGGAGGAAAGGGAGAAGAAGAAAGGGGGGCAGCCTGACTGCCACACAGAGAAGGTTCTCAGAGCTGCCATATACGGACTCTTGACCAGAACTTAGTCTCTGTGGCCACGTAGAAGGGGCTGGAAAATGTAGCCTTTGTTCTGAGGGACAGTGGGCCTGGCTAAAAATCCCATTCACTTGGGAGGAGGAGAGAAGATATTGGGGCACGACCAGGGGGAATCTGCCAGGACAAGCAAATATCTGATGTCAACATTTAGAACGAGTAACATTTTAGTGGCTTTATTTTTCTTAAAACAGTCCTATTTAGAGGTTTAAAATATAAAGTCTAATTCTATCAATGACTTCATTTGACATCTTTGATGGACTTTAGGCAAAAACCAGTTCAGGGAACAAAACTAAGAGATTTGAAAAGCTTTATTTGGTGCTTAAACTAATTTACCCTTAAAAATATTATTAAATTTATAAAGTGTTCAAAAATGAATAAGATAATTTAAAATATTTATGTCAACCCTGACTTAGAATGCAAACTCTATCAATAATGTTTTCACTAATTTTTCATGGCAGGGCAATTTTTATTAATTGACTTCTGGTTTTGAAGTAACTATTTTTTAACTTGATGAGTGGTGTTTTATTATTTTTTTTATTTTTCCTTTTTCTCCTCAAAGCCCCCCAGTACATAGCTGTATATTTTTTAGTTGTGGGTCCTTCTGGTTGTGGCATGTGGGACGACGCCACCTCAGCATGGCTTGATGAGCGGTGCCACGTCCGCGCCCAGGATTCAAACTGACGAAACCCTGGGCCTCTGAAGCGGAGCGCGCGAACTTATCCACTCAGCCATGGGGCCAGACCCCGTGTTTTATTATTTTTATTAACTTATTTTTTTTCCTCGTTACAGTAAATAGTCTCTAGTAAGATTCTAAGTAAATCTTCATGCTATATCGGCGTATATATTGTCATCAATTTTCATCTTTAGGTGGTTGGATAAATTTTTTTTATTACAAAAGTAATTATTTTCTGAGATACTAAAGTCTGTCCTTTTGCCGAAAATAGTAAATAACCATAAAAACTTTGGAAAAGACATGTTATAGGAAAGTTTGAACATATGATTTGTCGTAAGTGTTAGGTGAAGGGAAAAGACTAGAAAGAAGAAGATTACAATCAGAAAGTCAAAGGAAATAAAAATATAAAATTGTTCTTTCATGCTTTATAACATTAAGCCAGAACAGTATTTTTACCTGCCACTAGAGGTGTCTAAATAACCACCAGCTGGTGAATTTCGAAAGTACTTAGATCCTAAGTGTTAGAAATAAGCAAAAATGTCCCAGGTGAAAATATCCATCTGTCGTTGACAGTAGAAAAGTCAACTCTGCCGTGTCTCTCTCCTCATGCTACCAGCTGCAAGAGCTCATCATAGTCCACACAGCTCTTCCTTACAAAAGAATGTGACAAGTATACCAATATTTCCCACGCCTCTTGGAACTTAGTGTATTAATGGAATACCATAGAAATTCATAAGATCTATTGTGTGCTTGGATTGATGAAGTCAGTAAAAAAGTAGTCTTAGAGAAATTGAGACAGGATCTGATCCAGTCTGGTTTATACATACCTTGAAGATTAAATTCTATCCAGTGCAATTTTGAAGCATGATATATTTCCTATCCTGGTGACCATGGAGCAGGCGGTGGCTAATGAAACAGTGAACTGCTGATGCTCCCTGCTCATTTATACAGACATCCAAAGTCAGACATTCGTGAAGTGAAACTTTAATGTGACCCCTGAAATTCGAGTGACAGGTCATCATTACTAAAGACATAAATATAGGTAGATAGCAATAACATGTTATGTAACAACAAAAATATGTTCAGTAATTTTACATATTTTGAAAGAATTTTAGAAGAACAAAGCACTAGTGTATTTTTTTTTTTTAATTCACAGAACGCAAATAATAACTCCTGGAATCTTACTGTTTTTCTAAACTGTTTTGGGAAAACATTGGGTTAAAGCTAGAACACGGAGACAGTCTGTTCCCAGCTGAGATTAGATCAAGAGCAAATAGACTTCCTCGTAGGGGCACAAATTTTAACAATACTTAAAGATGAAAAAAGTTCCAGTTCTAGTAATAATTAGACAGAAAACAGTTTAACTAGCAATTCCGAGAAATTCTCTTTAGGAGCAACTTTTTGAGATTAAATGTGTACGTCGTATAAACTCACAGATTCCTTTTATAGCCTTGCAATACTATGAACAATTCTAGGCATTTCCAGTTAGGGAAATTCCAGCTATAGGTTCTTTCGTTGGTCACATTTGAATACAAAATTTTACACGCACACACACATAACACTGCTGCTTGACTTTTTTTGTGAGAATGAAATATGGAGTCATTCAGAGAATAAATTTTAGTTTCTTCATGAATTAGAAAAAAAATGGGGGAGGAGAAAGGCTATTTGTACTAGTTAAGCACCAAGACTTGCTTACATTTTTTATGCCCTACATGTTATTTCAATACTTTTTTAATGTTTTGTTAGCAGTAGTTGATAAGTTTGGTTTAAAAATCTGTTGCTATAGATAGGGCCATCACACTCAGTTGTGCAGGTTGTTTACTGCATAAATACACTGCATACAGTATCTGGTATGTACAGTAGGCTACACACGTACTGCATTTGTGAGTTTGTGCAATCCAGACCATGTCCCGCTCACAAACCTGTGGGCCCTGGCACAGAGCTGTGTCGCCCCAGAGGAAGGAGCCCCTTTTTCTAATTCACAAAAATGTTTCATACGGGCTCTCAGCAGCCCTGCTTACAAATGAGGGAATAAACTCAATATTTTTCTAGCAATTGTCCTTTCCTGAAATCAGTTTCCTCTGTTAAACCTGAGTAAAAAGAAGTGGCGTAGCAATGTAAAGAATCAACAGAACCAGTTTATGCGGTTTCCAAATTGTTTTGTTCATCATGACAAGTATAAATTAAGTTCATTACGTGATTATGGCTTTCTTCAAAAGTTTGCGATAGCCTGTGAACATTAATATCTACATGACAGAGGACACGAGGGTGAAAGTCCCTAATAAATATATAGTCTTGTCTAGGAGAAGTCAGCAACATTTCTAGATGAGGTGAAAAGCAGCAAGGCCTGGAAACAAGCCATTTGTTGGAGCACATTTAGGAGATTGTCACAATTAGGGTAGAGGGTGTATGTGGGGACATAAGTTCCTGTTGTCCTTTCCTTTTTATTTAGCGTTGATCTTCAAGTTCCGAGGAAGCTGTTCTTCCTTTTTCTGGCCCCAAGCTGTTTCGTTCTTGTTGTTTATTGCTGTCCATCATCTTCCTTTTTTCTTCTCTCTTTTTTAGACAACAGTCCTTCTATCGTGCAGGTTCTATTAGGGACAGAACGGATAAAGCTAAGAGAAGACAGGAAATTAAGTGGTAAAAACTCCAGACGGTTGAAACAAAATAGACTTTGCCAATAGAGATTATTCATAGCCTTTACTCAACCTACTTATTCCAAACTAATTTTATTGTGAAAGCCTTTAAATAAAATATAGAACTTCTTTAAAACTTTAACTTGAAAGCAAGGAATATAAGGATCCTGTAGTTAACAAATGTAATTGAGAGAGCATTTTAATAGTATTCAAGTTGAGCCATCGCAACCAACTGTAGCTTGATGTCCCAGTCTTAGTTCGAACCAAGTTTGACTTTTGAAACTGCTTTTAGCTTGCTCTAAGCTGTTTCAGTCAATTTTTTGAATATTACTTATATCCCCCCATCCCAAAAGATCATTTAATTTCTAAGCAGACTTTTCTTCAAGCTGTGTCCTCTTGAAATAAATATTTAGGCTCCAGTAGACAGCAAATGAGAGAAACAGTATGTCTTGCGAATGCTTGACAGTTGATTTTGTTGTTTTCTACTTTCAGAATCTTTTTGGCAGTAACAGTCTCGATGGAGGAAGCAGTCCTATGATCAAGCCCAAAGGAGACAAGCAAGTGGAATACCTAGACCTAGATTTAGATTCCGGGAAATCCACGCCACCACGTAAGGTAAGTGAAACCTCATCCTGTAAATACGATTAACTCACATTTTAAACCTGAAGAATCATATCTCCCTTGGGAGAATTTTATTAGTGTGTTTAATTTAAATTTAATAAAATCTGTTACTTAATGCTGTTTTGTAAATCACAAGTAACAACGTTATGGAAACCAGTAAATTAGTTTTTTCCTTTCTAATAGTATGGAAGTTACACGCTTTCCATTCTTTCAACAGTTCCCATTGAAATGCTTACTTAACAAACGCTAACATTAATCATTGTCTTCACTCGCTTTCCAGTGTTAGCTCAAAATTACTGCCCTTCTGACCTATGTGCTCTTTTTGTCCAAAATTGTAGGTTTTTCCTTTTGTTAACCCCACAAGTTGAACATTAGTAGTATTCTTATTATACAGTGTTTGTTTACATTTTCCTTCATGTTTGCCAACTTCTTTTGTTATCATTCCTTGTCTCTGAGACCTTCCTTCTGTAATCATTTTCCTTCCTCCTGAAATGCATCCTTGAGAAGATCCTTTTGTGGAGGTCTGTTAGTGGCAAATTCTTACACTTTTTGTTGAACTGAAATGTCTTTAATTTGCCCGCATCCTTGAAAAAGAGTTTTTTTGAGTTCACAATTCTTGATTGACAGTAAGCTTCTCTCAACACATAGAAGAAACTGTTTGCTATCATTGGCTTCCATTGTTCCTGTTGGAAAGATGCTGTTGGTCTAATTGCAGTTCCTTTGCAGGTAGTCTGTCTTTCCTGTTTGGCTGGTGCTAAGAGCTTTTCTGTATCTTGGTGTTCTGCAGGTTCACTACAATGTGTCTGGACATCTAGACATAGATTTCTTTTTGTTTATCCTGCTTGGTAGAAGTTGTGCTGTCTTTATTTCTGGATTCTTTTTTTTAATTCTAGAAAAGTCTCAGTGGATATCTTTCTAAATATTGCTTTTCCTCTTTTTATTCTCTTCTTTGAGGTTTCTGATTAGACATTAGTTAGAACGTCTCATTCTATTTTCTGAACTACTTCTTCTCCCTTTTTTTGGTGAGGAAGATTGGCTCTAACATCTGTTACCAATCTTCCTCTTTTCGCTCAGGAAAGATTGTCACTGAGCTAACATCTGTGCCAATCTTGTCTATTTTTCGTATTTGGGATGCCACCACAGCATGGCTTGATGAGTGGTGTGTAGGTCTGCCCCCGGGATCCAAACCCACACACCCCAGGCCACCAAAGAAGAGCACTGAACCACTACACCACTGGGCCAGCGCCTGTTTTCCGTACTCCTTATCACTCTTTCATATTTTCTATCCTCTTGTCTCTTTGTGCTTGCTTGGATAATTTCTTAAGATACTATTTATGCAATAATTTCAATATCTGAAGTCCTTGGAGGTCGGAATCTGTGTTTATTATTCTGCTAACTCACATTCTTGATGGCTCATTTCCTTGTGTGTTTTATACATTTTTGTTGTGAATTCATTTTGCTGAGCGTGTTTGTGGGAATCCTGCAGACCTAAATTTCCTTCAGAAAGGATTTGCATTTGCTCCTGCTAGGAAGTGGGCTGTGCTACCACCCTAGGACCACCTCAGTTCCCTTCAGGGGTCCTTAACGTAACAGGATAGTCTCAGGTTCGACATGGCCTCCCTCCCAGGGCCTTCTGATTGCATTGCTGAGAGTGGCATTCTTCCTAAAGACAATACTGCCCTTAGCGTTTAGCAGCTCTCTGCTCCCTCTGTTCCCCTCATGCCTTGGGTATTGCCCACACTTTCTAGTGAGCCCAGCAGTGTGTTAATAATGATGTCTGTTTTAAGTTAGCTGCTATCTAGTTGTGTTCTAGGAGTTATCAGGGCCCATCAGTCTATGCAGTTTGCCATTCTTCAAATACTGCTTTTCAAAAAACATGTCTTAGCTCTGAAAGTAAACACTGATACATATGCTCAGGACTTGAAAAAGTCAAGCTTAAGCTGAAAGCTGGAGGGAGAAGCCAGTTGTGCATCTTAAGATGAACCGGGTGTCTGCTATCCCTATTTTATAAGAATTTCATCTGTGATGGGAGCATTAGTTTGAATTCTCGTATATAATAATTTTAAATTTAAGGGGAAAACAGCGTATAGTTAAGAGAGAAACAATGTTGTTAAATTGAGGTAATGTTACTTTATTGTGTGACCAAGCAGAATTTTGAGAATTATTCACAGTCCATATGTATCTACATGAAACTGAAATTCAGTTTTAAGACTGAATCACTCAGAAGCACTCCTTTATATGTGGGACTTTATGAGGTTTTCTCTTTGCTTTTTAGCAAAAGAGCAGTGGCTCAGGCAGCAGCGTAGCAGATGAGAGAGTGGATTATGTTGTGGTTGACCAACAGAAGACCCTGGCTCTGAAGAGCACCCGGGAAGCCTGGACAGACGGCAGACAGTCCACAGAGTCGGAAACGCCAACCAAGAGTGTGAAATGAAAATATTGCCTGCCATCTCTGAACACAGGAGAACTGAATTGTAAAGATAAATCTTGTTTGACTGAAGATGATTTGACACTTCTACTCTAGGTAGATCCTCAGACGAGTAGAGTTGAAGTCAAAGGACCCTCCAGACGTAATCAAGCAACTCTGACTGTAAATGGTGCTTTGTGGTATCTGAACAATTCATAACATGTAAATAATGTGGGAAAATAGTATTGTTTAGCTCCCAGAGAAACATTTGTTTTATAGTTAACACACTTGTAGTATTACTGTATTTATGCACTTTTTCATTTAAAGCATTGGTTTGGGTATTCCCAAATGTACTTAACATAATTCCTTTGGGAGTTCTTGTTTGTCCTCACACTACTCTGATAACATTATTAAGTTAACTGAGCTACTTTTAGATTGGGAAATTGCTCTTTAAACTGCAGTCTAACAACATTAAAATGAGAAGTAGATTCACAGTTTACCTTTCTACCTGAAACTTCAGGTGGGTGGTAACCATTAGCCTACAACTAGAGAGTATAGTTGGACTCAGCATTCATTGCCTTCCAAAGGGCTGGGGGCAGTGTATGTACTGGTGTCAGGCCCTAGTTCTCTGATTCATGTACATTTAGTTTGCATTGGTGGATCTGTATCATATTTTGTTAATTCCAGTGTTTTTGGCTCAATGAATGAGGATTCTGCCAGGTGAGATCTTGCACCTTGGAAAGACTGAATAATTATACTCTCAAGTAAGCCTACAAAACTGATGGCATAGGGTGATATTTGCTGTCACACTTATTAACATGTATGAAACTTTACATTACTTGCAGAAGATAGATTATATAACGAATCAGGTACGTACCAGGCACTGATGTGCTAATACACTGATCAGGTTTAGACATGGAGCTTTAGCTGTGTTCCTGTTAGTCCTAATATTGGTTTCCAGTTTGGAATTAATGAAACAGTGAACATTCACTGTTAGTTATAGCAACATACTGTGATTTTTAATTAGACAGCAATTCAGATTTATTACTCTCAGAATGAAATTTAATCTTTTGACACCATAGTGCCCTATGATTTTTTTTTAACTTTACTTAATATTCTTCTTGGCCTTATATTTAAATCCCTATGCAATTAATATTTTATATCTGCCTTTGTTAAATAAAATAGATGTTATATAAATGATTCTCATATGTAGCACCTATTGCTTTTCCAGTAAAAGAACTAAGGATTTTGTACTGTGATTTATATTCACTGCCCCAATTCAAGAAATGTTGGCGCCTTGCTATAATGTGAAATCTTAGAGCCATGGACCTCTTCCAACCAGATTTCTGAAACCACCAGAGGAACCATGGTTCTGGCTCATGTATAACGTGGTCCTGTGACGTGGATATCAAGACCACAAATTATATATAGTGAGGCTACAATTGTATTGATCTGTCTTGGCTTTGCAATGTAATTTAGAAAGCAGGTATAGTAGTTTGTCTGTTTGTTTGTTTGTTAACTACATACAATCTCTTATGTGTTGATTTGAGACTTAACAGTTTTGGGAGGGGGCATAGAGATAGGAGTGCCCGCAGCTGAGGCATGGCTTCCTCATTCTGACCTCTACCTGTTGCCTGACTCGACAGATGTGCCCTGATTTCTGGCCTCTTGGCCATAGTACTGTGCCTAATCAACGTCATGGGTTTATTTTCCCATTCCACGAACTAAAAATGTTCATAACAAGATGAATTGTAGACTCGTAACATTTGATGCTTTTAAATGTTTGCTTCTTTTTAAACAAAAACTAAAACCCAAAAGTGAATTTTGAGGTGGATTTTTAAATAAAAAAGATTGTTTGAGTTCGGTGTGTGCAAGCTGTTTTATAATGAAACCACAAAATCTGAAATCATTGAAATGTGCCTAAACTATCAAAACGCACAAGCCAGTTGATGTGTGAAGATACTAATTGTGTTATGTGGAGGACACACATATTTTGAGATTTAAAACACAACAATAAATATATTACTAATTCAAAAATAGAAATCTTCTTTAAAGCTGCCTATCAGAAGAGTCTAAGGCAATTATGAATTTTTTAGTGTAATTTCTCCTTAATTTTTTACGTTATTTTTTAAGACATGCAACTCTCTAGTTTATAGAAAATTTTCCCATTATGCAGAGTAATTTAAGAATTGAAATGTATTTGGCAGTTTACTTGAAAACAAAATCACATTGAACATTATTGACAAATTAAAAGACAGTTTCTTATAGAGCAGTATTTTCTAAACATGTTTTAGCACTAAAATCTTTTTTAAATGAAATTTTGTGTAACTCCAATACATAAAGCCTGAAAAGTCCATTTTATCAGTATAAATGTATTTTGAGTTCACATTTGTGTTTACTTATCTTAATCCATTACTAAGAATAAAATTTCTGAATAACACAAATGTGAAATTGAGGTTATAGATAGTTGCCAAAAAACCTCAGCAGCCAATTTATTTCTGTACCTTGTTTTATTTGCATACTATCAAGAAAATTGTGATTCACACAAACATAAGTAAGTGCAAATAATAAGGGTTTTAAACCCACATCTCAGGAGGCTCTTTAATTAGAGATAACTGAAGTTGTATTCTAAGGTTCATACAAAAATAAATTATCCTGGTAGTAGAAGTTAATACATAATTAGTCTCCAGTATGATAAAATAGGCGTATGTGACTCATTAGAATGTGCATTTTTATTGTTTTATTTAAAATAATGCACTTATAAAAATGAAATTTGAGTCAAACTCTTTTAATACCCCAGTCACCTTCAAGAAGCTGAGTTTTGGCCAGACATCAGTTGAAAACCACTGATTAAGCGTGTGACAGTTACGTTATAAATCAGAAGTCTTTCTCCCACATGTTTGATGTTCTCTGCCTTTTATTCCTTGTTTTGAAAAACTAAAATTTTATGAAGGTTTGAATACCAAAGTACAGTTCTGCTTTCAAAAATCAAAATTCAAACTTGAATAATTTAAGCTATTTGACCCACAGAAGGTAGTAAGCTACAAAAGATTGTTTTTATCTAAACTCTAGTTTATACATTTTCATCTTTATTTTTGTCAATATATATAAGCTACTGTGAGCATTTTAGAGAATTCCATAAAGGTACTATGAGTGTGTGTGCGTATATAGCATTGTATTTAATCATAAACTAATTTGATATAGAAATACTGCTATACTGGTACATTAAGGTCATAAGTCATAATTTCTTTTGGACTCTTTTTACATTTAACTAATGGGCGTCACTATCTCCATATTCATAAATGCATTTAAACTGGAAATTGAACACCAGTGTTTGTTTGGGTTTTTTTTTCTACTAGTGGGAAATTGTCTGCTTTCCCCTTTTAGTGAAAACAGTATTTTTTATATTTTGTTAAAATGTTAGCTACTTTATGCCTGTACACTATACCATAGACATTGATCATAATTCTTGGATAGTCCCAAACACTCTTAGTGCCTCTTTATGTGGCCCATTGAAATATTGGTATTAGTATCTTGAATGAATACAAAGCCTTTAGAATTTTAGAAACAATGCAGTGGGCATCCTTCCTGTTCCTCTCTTTGGGTCATTTTGGTAGGTCTTGTCCTCCATTGTCAGGTAAGCAATCAGGCCAATGACAGGGATTGTACATACGACCAAATCGAGTGGATGCACAGAGAGAGAGATATATGCTAGAATAAGAATTATTGTCAATAGCATTGGATATGTTATTTGTAAATCTGTATATAATTTAAAATACTGACAACTATGAGATGAAAAGCCATGGTGTAAATGAACATTGTAGACATCGTGGACTTGATGTGATGAGAAATCGCTTGTCAGGTTGTGGAGGTAATTGGTTTTAGTCTGACAAAATATGTTTGTATACTACTACAGCTTGAAATAGTTTGTCTTCTCTTCCATAGACTTATCTTTAAGTTCAGTATAATGTCTGTTATGAATTTTACAAAATATTTAGTTAAGCCATTACCACAGTTTCTGCTTCTTTTACTTAAAGAGAGAAGGTTTTGTGTGAGTTCTCGTAACCTAAATTGATTGTTGATGATCATCCCAAATTTCAACAGCAAAATCTTATGTCTAAATTTATTTCTCCCCTCTTGCACATTTTCTTTTGTAAAGATCCAATTGTAGATATTTTCTGCTACCAAATAAAACTTTTCAAACAATTTGGTTTCAAGACCTCAAGTAGTTGATTTGGATACTGAGCTTGTGCACCAATAAGGACATATGTATTGATATTTCTGACCCTTCTTCAGAGTCTGTCTCTAAATCAAAAACCCAGTTCTGCAATAAACAGTGCTGCCAGTCTTCCCAGTCCTACTTTTATAGGATCACTCATTTTCTGCAACAAGGCTCTCACTAAGTCATGCTAGAATAGCATAGCCAGGCTCTCACTAAATAGGAAAAGCTTCTGAGACTGTTGCCATATGCACACACCCTTGTTATTCCTTCATCTAGTTCGCACTGCCACCATTTTGTTGAGTAAAAGGCCAATAAATAAGGAGCTGTCTGCAACCTTTACCATCAGAAAATATGTTTTATACATAAAGCATGGCTTGGGAAATGGTAACTGGCTGGGCTTTTTCATTTCTATGAGAGTTTTCAAACATCTCCGGTACTTCATAAAACCTTAGGAATTACTGTCAGTCAGTCCTTTAGCCCACTCAGCCCAGCGCTTTACAACTCTTGACTCACATTAAATCATATTTCGGAAGTTTAGGGAGGGAAAGGTTATCTTCTTTGAGGTCATTTTCTCCTCATCTGTCTTTCTGTCACCTTGTAAATGGTGAAACTTCTGGATATTTGCATATAACTTCTCTGTAAAAAAAAAAGCTGCTTTCTCCGATATAGAAACATTTTTTGAATTACAGTTTTTCTAGGAGAGTTTTATGGGGAGTAACTTGGCAATTCTGTGAATGTGTGTTACTGCATATTTAAAGGCTGAGTCAGTGATGGGAGGCATTTTATTAACTGTTGTGATGGGTAACATTCCTCCCTTAGATTCCCGTTTTTAATATTACAAAAAAATATTTTTTTAATAAAATAAATGAACGCATAGAAAATTAAGTATCTAAGATATGTCTCTATACTTCGTTAGCCAGGGTTTTTATTACTAATAGTTATTTTGGTGATTAACTCTTAGCATAACGTGTCTCTGATTTTGTGGTATGTGTGATGCCCAGAACATTTGGAGTACTCGGTGTGTGGCATGTATAGTGGTACAGAAAAGAAAAAAAATAAATCCCCCCTAAAAAGCCCATTTTCTCAAATATGGTATTGTGATGGTTAATGTGTCAACTTGGCTAGGCTGTGGTGCCCATGTGTTTGTTCAAACAGTAGTCTAGATGTTGCTGAGAAGATGTTTAGTAGATATGATTACCATTTATAGTTAATTGACTTTAAGTAAAGCAGATCACCCTCCATAATGTGGGTAGGCCTCATCCAATCAGTTGAAGGCCTTAAGAGCAAAAGCTGAAGGTTTTCCACAGAAGGAATTCTGCCAAGACCATTAAATAGAAATCCTGCCTGAATTTCCAGCCTGCCAGCGTGCCCTACAAATTTCGAACCATTCAGCCTTCACAATCATGTGAGTCAATTCCTTAAAATAAATCTTTCCGATGGATGGATGGGTCAATCCTATCAGTCTGATTCTCTGAAGAACTCTGACTGATACAGGTATCAATTCGTTAATATGAGTGCCTCTTACACATACACCAAGCAATGATTTTGAGGTTTAAGTTGAAATATATCTACCTCTAAAACTATTTTTAAATCAACTTTGTAAAAACAGTGAGTCTGCAAGTTGCTTATTCCAATCCTTAGACAAAGGAATAATTCTGGAATTCAGACTAAGAAGAAAGTTCTGTTGTCTCAGATTTTGATTCTACTCGATGATGACCTATTAAAAATTAAATCATTTCACTAGAGTAGCTGCTACATGTGTGGCGTTGCGCTAGGTGCTGTGGGAAACAAAGAAATCTGCACTCTCTTTATCTTTACAAATTCATATGTGTGAAATAATAAATGATACGGGACAGAAAATAATTACTTCTGAGGTATCAGCGATGAGCTACCAAAAGAAAGACTGTCAAAGTATCATAGTCAAGAAAAGCTTCATAGAGATGGAGATTAAGCTAGATTTGGAGGATTGGCAAGAAGGAAAAAGGAGGGCATCCGAAAAGAGAACAACATGAAGAATTTATTTATTAGCTTGCTATTAGTTTAGTTGTTTTGTGAGAAGAGGGGTGTATAAAAAGACGAAAAGGGGCAGAATATGGAGAACTGTTTATCAGGTGGAAGGTTATGAATATTGTATTAGTCATCTAATGCTATGTAACTAACCGAAAATGTAGCGGCTTAAAAAAAATGTATCGTCTATTCTTACAGTTTCTGTGGATATATAGGCATATCTTAGCTGGGCAATTCTGGTTCAGTGTCTCTAATGAAATGATAGTCAACTGAGACTGTAGTCATCTTGGGGCTGAAGGATCTACTTCTAAGGCAGTTCACTCGTATGGCTGACAAGTTGGCAGGAGGCTTGTGTTCCTCTTCACGTGGGCTTCTTCCAGGCAGCTTGAGTATCCCAAAGACCAAGCAGAGGCTTCAATACCTCTTATGACCTACACTTGGAAGCCCTATAGTGTCATCTCTGCTCTACTCTAACAGGTCATTCAGTCCACTCCTGATTCATTGTGGGAGGAGACTTACAAGGACATGAGTACCAGGAAGTAAGGACCACTGGGAGCATCTTGGAGGCTAGCCGTCACGAAGGCAGAGTTGAGTGTTAGGGATGAAGCCAAGGATGGAAGGCCTTGAGAACCAAGTGGAACTCAAGTGCATTGAGAATTAACGACTTTAAAATGTCAAAACAACAAGCCAAAGCATGGAAAGAGTAGGCCACAGGAAGTCAGGATACAGTTCTAAACGTAGGTCTATGAGTTTAGCTGTGTGTTCTTATAAATTACAAAGCTATTTAACAGTTATTAAGACACTCTTCTATATTGACTCTGACCTAATCCTCATTAATACTGTCAGGTAATTAGTGTTATACTCTCCAAGCGTCAAGTGTTCCAACTTCAACAACTCCACGAAGCTTTCTCTCAACTCCCTCACCCAGAGGTCATAGCTCCTTCCTCTGAAAGTCACAAAATTGGTAACTTCTTTTTTTCCTATTTGGCTTTTGTGATGATGTATTCATTTTCTAGGGCTGCCATTACAGAGTACCACAGACTGGATGGCTTAAATAACAGAAATTTAATTTTTCGCAATTTTGGAGGCTGAAACTTCAAGATCAAGATGTTGACAGGTTTGATTTCTTCTGAAGCCTCTTTCCTTGGCTTGTAGATGGCTGCGTCCTCACTGTGTCTTCACATGGCCTAATTTCTGTGCATACAACCCCTGATGTCTCTCTCTTCTTGTATGGACACCAGTTATATTAGAGGAAGGCCCTTCTGACCTCATTTAATCTTAATTACCTTTTTAAAGGCCCTATTGCCAAAAACAGTCACTTTCTAAGGTACTGGGGGTTAGAAGTTCAACATGAATTTTAGGAGTGACACAATTCAGTCCATAACAGATATCTCTGTCTGTATCTCATCTACCTGGCTGTATGCACCTTAGAATAAAGAGTATGTCTTATCCAGCATTATATCAGTCACATTCCTGGCAGGAAAAAATGGCACACTCGAAGGAGTAGTTGAAGAGAGTTGAATGAAGGAACTCTTGCATGTCTGTGGATAGGATTAAGGGAAGCAACAGGGATGGTCAAAAACTCTTAACAGTAAGAAGACATTACCACTTCTGGAACTAAGGGGGCAAGTGGTGAGCCCTGTTACTGAAACCCAGTAAGAGCTATCCACCAGCAGGCACTTTGGTATTAGGTAGAAGGACACAGCTACTACCTAATCCAGATCAGCAGGGAGGGAGTCAGGTTCTCTCTCTCTCACTTGCCATTGGCTAAAACCTACCAGCAGCCAGAAATAACCCAGGAGATGTAACACGTGGAGGGCAGCCTCCCAGGGCACACAGTAAGACAGAGAGGGGTGGAGGGCAGATCAGGCAGGGCAAACAGAAAATCCTTCACAATCTTCATATTTATTACCATGTCAAACCATCAAGGAAATAGTCTGTGGAAGATTGGTTTGCTTAACAGCTGATCCAACCTCTTTCTAGAATACTATCCTGTACTTCAAAAGCTGTAAGGATAAAAACTACATTTCCCAGGCTTCCTTGCAGCTAGGGCTCTGCCTGTCATTGACTTTCCACTAGTCATATTCACTTAAACTCAGAAACTGAGTTCAGTGGAGAGGGAAGCAGAATTCTGTCAGGTATCAATATAGTTAAATCTAGCCATTTGCATTTGGTAGATGAAGCAATGGGCTCCTGATCCTTGGTCCACAGCTAAGATGGTGTATTCTTGGAGCCAACATCTGTGGTGGCAGCCTCCTGCCCCTCATGGCACAATAGGCACGTGATGCTGGATTCAACTATTGGTGCGGTGGTTTCCTGAGCCCACATTCCTGATTGTTCCCAAGTCTGGCAGTTCTGTGGCATTGTTCTGAGAATCATTCCTTAAAGGCCCTACACACCTGCCAGTGACTGTAAACTCTTCATTCTTTATATTACATTCCTTTTTGTTTAAAATTACTAGAGTGACAAGTCTGTTGAAAATTGACAAGGAGCCAATTTTCTGCCTCTTGCATTCTGGAATTTCTTTTTTCTTATTCTTATATTGTAAAGCCGTATAACTAAAGAAAATTGGGGGAGAAAGAGGAAAAACGCCCACAAACTGTGTTGCTTCCCTATCTTTACTTGAATGTGCAGCTGGATTCTGCTTTTTGCATTGACTGCTGTCATGTTTTCCCAGGTGTTAAGCACCTGAATTGTCATCTTTAAAGACTGCATAATATTCCTTCAAATATTTTAAAATACTTGATGGTATCCAGTATTGATACAGGTGTGGCGATTGGGACACTTGCATATGCTACCACTAGGAGCATAAATTGGTCCAGCTGTTTTTAAAAAGCCATTTATCAATACAATTTTAAAGTCTTGAAACTGTACTTAACCTTTGACATAGCAGTTGCATTTCAAGGAATTAACCCTAAAGAACTAATCAAAGGTTTGCACAATAATTTATCTCCAAGGAGTTAGTAGTATATCCAACAATAG